CCGCCGCCGAGCGGCACGCCCGGAGCGGCCCCACGTCGGCGCCCGCGGCGCCCGCGAGGCCCTTTGAGAGCAGCCGCGGCGAGGACCCCTCTCGGCGCAGTCACGGCAGAGTGGCGGCGCGCACGGGAGGGGTATGGGGAGGGGGGGAAGGCTTCTTGGAAGCACCCCTGCTTCTTCGAGGGCGCGGGCCTGGTCTACAGATGTAGGGCCGGCGCCTGCTAAGAAGCAGCCTCCTTCTGAGAAGCCTCCCCCCCTCCCCCATGCCCCCCTCTGGGCGCCGCCAAGTAGAGGGAAGCAAGTCGTGAACACCCCCCCTGCCCCCCAAAAGCTCAAAGTTGGCACGCACGGGGGGGAGACTGCGGTCGAGGCGCAGCTCATCAGACCCACCACCAACTCTGAATATTGGGGGGAGGGGGAGGCGTTCACAGATGAATGTGGCACGAGTGTTCGCTATTTTTGTCCGAGGCCTGTATTGCTGGGGGGACACGAAAGGGCATCCACAAGCACCACCTTCAAAACGCAGACGTCGAGGACATGTGCAACGACCAGCAATACTAGAAGTGGTCCTCCGGCCTGTCATCAACGGCTCAGATGGCCCCAAGAGAACTCCAGCAAGAGGCTCCCTTGGGGCCATCTTAGCCGTCTTGGAGGGCATCTCGGAGCCATCTTGCGCGGGAAGACCGACGACCCCAGAAATTTCTGCAACTCCTCGGGTGGCTGGCGGTCTGGGCAGGAGGCCGGCAGGGACCTTCGTAACAAATGTTTAAACACACAGGAATCCAGCACACCAAGCACCCCTTGATATATCAACAAGGGGCGGCAGATATCAGTGGCCCTCGGCCAATCCTCTTGCCGCGCCTGGGGGGTCGTGGCCTCTCGGGGCCTCCTGGGGACTTTTTTTGCCGCACCTTCTTACAATAAGGGAGGTCAGTGGTGGCGAAAACGGTCGGCGCGCCAACTGCGCGCCAACCGCGAGCCGCGCCAAACGCGCGGTGAGCATGCGAACGTAAGTACAATTTACCGATCAATGGACAGGGGAAGGAAAGGCGGAAGGAGAGATAAGGGGAGAGGAGGGAAGGAGAGGCGGGAAGAGGGGAAACGATGCCAGGGGGAGACCTCGAAAGGCAAACGCCTTCGAGATCCCCTCAAGTCCTGGCTTGGGAAGCTGGGCACTCACGCTTATGGAAGCGACGGCAACCGCCCAGCTTAAGGAGGGACCTCGCCTCTTCTGCGGCGAAGCTGCTCTGGACAGCCTGCGTCCTATCGACCGAGCTCTTCACCCGCGCGTCGTACTCCATGATAGCCAGCTTGTTGTAATAGTACATCAACTCCTCGCTCAAGTACTTTCTGCCAAAATCCTTCTGATCCTGCAGCTGCCGCGACGTGTTCTCCAGCAACATGACATGGGACACTTGTTCAACGACATCGCTGAGGTCAGGCTTGATGGGCCAGAAATGTCTCCACGGTCGCATGAAGCTGGTGAAAAACTCAGATGGCGGATTCTCGGGCAACATGACGACGGCGTTTCCGTAAAAACACTGCCTGAGTCTTTCGGCCCAGTCGCTGTTGCTCCCCACGTTCAATATAGCCTGGTAGTTGCACAGCTGTTCCGTCAAGGGCAGGAAGTCGCTGACATTGCTTCTCTTGCGTCTGTGGTTGATTTTCGTGGCTTCAGTGTCGAACATGTCAGGGTGAGACTCGCCAAGCATGTGAAGGAGCCACCGGCCATTGTCTTCCCAGCCGCAGCTCTGCGTGCATGTCCCGAACTTCATCCCCCTTCCACTGCGTTCTGCCGCGGAAGACAGCCTTCTTGATGCGCGCGCTGGTGCTGTTACATTTCAGATTCTCTTTCACATATTTGTCCCAGCCGACAACCGGCGTGTTGACATATGGCAGAGGAGACCGGACCGTGCCCATCGCGAAAGGCACAGCGATAGAAGAATACATCGGGTGATACATAGTGCCAAATATCGGTATGCCCAAGTTGCCAGAACGGACGTTCTGCACGCCGTCGTGCAGGCCGAAGGGCACGTACACGTCCACGTCAGCCGGGAGGCCTGGCACGATGACGTCCAGGATCTCCTTCAGTGGCGGGCCACGAGAGCCACTGAACTCACCCCAGTGGAGTCTGTAGCTGCTCTTTGAGATGTGGACCACCAGGGTGATGTAGGCGCCAGTCACTGGCACGCAGGCCGCACGCTTCGAGTAGTCGACCGTCGTCAGCTCCGACAGCTCCGACTCGATCACGTCGAACCAGGCCCGCACGTGAGACTGCACCTCCTCGGCGGCAGCGGGCGCCAGGAAGCTGGGCGCCTCCGGCATGGGCGTCTGGCGAACGCGCGGCACGGGCTTCGGGTCGGGGCTCCCCCGCGTGAGGGCGCCTGCGGGCGACGTCAGAACGAGACCGACCACTGCGAGCTGCTCCCAACGTCTTCCTAGCATGGTCGAGCGGGTGCGCATCATTTGTGAGTGACAGAGAAGTCTCCCTCTCTCTCTGTACTTCTGCGGACCAGGGCGCCCTTCCCTCGGACCAGAAATGCCTACTTGAGCCAAAATGGCTGCGGACTTCCTGGGGAGACTCTTGGAGCCTCTGGGCGGCCTCTTGGTTGCCTCTCGGTGGTCTCTTGGGCGGGCCTGTGGGGGGCCCTGTCAGAGGCCCTGCGGGCTCGTCTTGGAGCGTAGGCTTCCACCGGCCTGGCGGCGTCGCGCTTTTCGGGCCCCGCTTATAGTGAGCAGAAAATCCACTCCCATAATAAGCACCCCGACAAGCGAAGCCGTTCAGTAAACGCACCCATGGAAGTAATCGGACAGGGCAGGGCTGTTCAGTAAACGCCCAGGGCCGTTTAGTAAACGCCAGCTGTCGGGGTCGGGGTGGTTTTTCCCCCACACTGGGCATGCGAGAACCCTACAAAGGTTCTCCATGGTTTGGGCTTCCGAGGCTGGCCCCTCAAAGCTCCCGAAAACCCGACAGACCTCCACGACGGCTCCCTCCTTCTCCCTCCTCCTCCTCCTCCCTCCTCCCTCCTCCCTCCTCCCTCCTCCCTCCTCCCTCCTCCCTCCTCCCTCCTCCCTCCTCCTCCTCCTCCTCCTCCTCCTTCTCCTCCTACCAATGGATGGGTCCTGGGGACCATCTTGAAGCGCGTTGGGACTTCGGATCCCGAGTGCGCGTCCACGGCCTCGGGTAAGGGAGCCAGGCGCGTCCTGGTAGCGCCCGGGCATGTCGCCCAGAAGCGCGGGGAGGTCCAAATAAATTCGGGCCCTGGGCCTTCAGTTGCTCTGTGTTCACTGCACGAGACTCAGAATTAGTGAGGACCTAAGGTCACTCCACACAATGTGTCTGCAGCAGCACGGTGGCGGGCGTCCAACGAGGCGGCACTAAGGACAAACATGTATCATAAACAAGCGCACATGGCAAACGAAAATGACATATCCAGACTACAGACGGACAGATCAAGCATATCGAACGAAAATACGGGATAACGCATATACGCATAACAGGCGCAGGACTGACAACGAAGACATGCGCAATCAACTCCCTGGCGGAGGTCGCTCGGGGCAGAATCATGCTTGTGCCGACTCTCGCTCTCTTGCGTCCCTACCCCTCACACCCCGTGAAAGAGATGGCACTCGCTAGCAGCGTGGCCCCAGAAGTTTCCAGGCACGCCCTCGAGCCAGCTGCAGGTGCGCGCTTTGACACCACGTAGCAAGGCGACCGCTGGTTTCGCCGACGGCTGGTTTCGCCGCCCGGCGAAACCAGCTCCGTCGGCGAAACCGGCTCCGTCGGCGAAACCAGCTCCTGTCGGCGAAACCAGCTGCAGTCGGCGAAACCAGCTGCCGTCGGCGAAACTGCCTGACCCGACCCGCCCGCTAGGGCCCACCCGCCCGACCTGACCCGCCCGTTAGAGTTCGCGCGTGCTGGTCGAGCGCGCCCCACTCTTGAATGTCCCGCCCGCCCGACCCGACCCGCCCGTCAAGGTCCGTCCGCCCGACCCGACCCGACCCGCCCGCTAGGGCCCGCCCGCCCGACCCGACCCGCCCACTAAGGTTCGCGCGTGCTCGGTCGAGCGCGGCCCACGTCCCGCCCGCCTGACCCCGCCCGTTAGGGTCCGCCCGCCCGATCCGACCCGACCCGCCCGCTGGGGTCCGCCCGCCCGTTCGGGTTCGCGCGTGCTCGGTCGAGCGCGCCTCACACTTTAATGTCCTGGCCGCCCGACCCGACCCGCCCGTTCGGGTCCGCCCGCCCGACCCGACCCGACCCGCCCGCTTGGGTCCGCCCGCCCGACCCGACCCGCCTGTTCGGGTCCGCCCGCCCGACCCGACCCGCCCGTTAGGGTTCGCGCGTGCTCGGTCGAGCGTGCCCCACACTTTCATGTTCGGGCCGCCGACCCGACCCGCCGTCAGGTCCGCCCGCCCGACCCGACCCGACCCGCCCGCCAGGGTCCGCCCGCCCGACACGACCCGCCCGTTAGGGCTCGCGTCGGCGAAACCAGTGCTGGTGAAACCAGCGCTGGCGAAACCAGCCGCTGGCGAAACCAGCGGGGCGAAACCAGCGCCGGCGAAACCAGCGCCGGCGAAACCAGCCGTCGGCGAAACCAGCGCCAGCGAAACCAGCTCATGCCCGCAGCAGCGGCTGTGTGCTCATGCTCGTCTCGTGCTCAGCATTTTGGCAGCAACCTTAAGGAGGAGGAGAAGGAGGAGGAGGATGAGGATGAGGAGAAAGAGGAGGAGAAAGAGGAGGAGAAAGAGGAGGAGGAGGAGGAGGAGGAGGAGGAGGAGGAGGAGGAGGAGGAGGAGGAGGGGGGAGGAGGAGGAGGGGGGGGATGAGGGAGGAGGAGGAGGAGGAGAGGAAGGAGGAGGAGGAGGAGGAGGAGGAGGAGGAGGAGGAGGAGGAGGGGGATGAGGAGGAGGAGGAGGGGGAGGAGAAAGAGGAGGAGGAGGAGGAGGAGGAGGAGGAGGAGGAGGAGGAGGAGGAGGAGGAGGAGGGCGGGCGGGCGGTGCTCCTCGCCGCTGGCCTCGTGGTCCGGGGTGAAGCAGCTGGCGAGGAGGAACTCGATGCGGAAGGCCATGATCGACTTCCAGTGGGGCTGGGGCTTCTGGATCCTCGCCACCTTGCGGGCGTCGTACGGACGATTTCGGAAACCCTGAATCCCCCAAAAAACTGTTCCATCTCTCGGGGCCTCATGTTTGACTTCCGCCGAGCTTCCGCCGGCGGAGGCGGCCTCGTTTTTACTTCCGTCGCCCTTCCGCCGCGGAAGAGATGATCACTCCTGCAATCCTCGAAGGCAAGGCCTATTTTGGAACGCCCCACATTCCCTCTTCTCTGTCTGATCCTGTGCCTTGCTCTCCACCGTCTCCTCCCTCCCTCACCTCATATCTATACGGTACACGCGCGCTCCCCGATCGTCCAGACAAGGACAACTATGGCTACACAGTGGGGCTGAGGCTTCTGGATCCTCGCCACCTTGCGGGCGTCAGATTCCCTCTCATCTGTCCGCTCCTGTGCCCTGCTCTCCATCGTCTCCTCTCTCCCTCCCCGCCTCTCTATACTGCACACGCGCGCTCCCCGAACGTCCAGAAAGGACAACTATTGAATGATACCATGCGCGCGCACTCGTTTAGCACACGCCATAATTGTGACACGTTCCTGGCAACATGTGGGACAATATCCGCACGTGCTCGTCGTTGCGCGCGCATGTCGGAATCTGTCAAAAACCGTAATTCCCGCGACGGATTTCAAAAGTGGGCTCCCCGAACAATAGTTCAAACACAGTGGTTGTGCAACGCAGCCTTTGAAGCAACATCTACGCGCGCGCGCTCTGGCGAGTTCAGTTGAAAACCCTCGGTTTGTTTTCCAACCGTTTCGTCCAGCTTCGTCAACTGGGACTGAGCGGCTCGCTCGCACGCGCATGCCGAAACCTTTCGAACACCTCTGCGCGCTTGCTCGGGTGTGTGGGGTGCGCAGCGATCCCTGTCAAATAACGCCATGCGGGCCACCCGCGCATGACGGCCGCGCGCGCATGTCGAAATCCCTTCAAAACTTTCATCCCCGACACGTGGACCCGATCATCATCGCCGGAATGAGTACCATCGGCGTCGTGATTGGCCGTGCCGTCGTCGCCGCCATCATGGTCACTACCATCGCTACTATCATGCTGTTGTCGACGTCACCATGATACCGCGCCCGCCCGAATTACCGACCCGCGTTGATGCGCCCGCGCGTCAGCGCGGCCTGTGAGACGCGCTGGGAAATTCCCAGTGGTCAGCGCCATCGCAATCGCGGTTGTGCCAAACACGTTTGCCGCCCTGCGCGCGAGCTTGCGCGAGCTAGCGCGGCCGCAAGATGCGCCAGCCAGCGCCGAGCAGTCATCGCAATCGCCGCCGCATGGGTTTTGCAAGCCAAGTTGCGGGTGGGTGGGAGGGATGATTGCGTGAACACTGGAGTTGGCAACTCCAAATTCTTCAAAATTACCTGCGCCATGTAGACTCTCTTTTCTACAAAGAGAATCGGTTCTACCACACTCCCCCCCGGACTTATCGATCCACCTTTTCGTATTGCAATTTACATACGACTCTGCCCCATCGTCCATCCAAAATATGAATTTACACTAACCCAGGGGGGCTGGTATCGCCCCCCCCGCCATCCTCTGCAACAGATATTATGCGCGCGCACTCGTTCATCAAAATCCCGAATTGCCAAATCCCAAAAACATATACGAACATAAGGTTTCGCAACACGGATTTTCCCTAAACGCGTGCGCGCGCGCTCTTGCGAATTCTGAAAGAAACCATGGTTCTCAACATTTCCACCACATGCTACCAAACAAGCTTCGCGCGCGCATGCCGGAATCGTTCGAACGCCTTTGCGCGCGTGCCGTCGCGAGAATCCCTTGCAACAAATGAGACGAAGTGCGCACGCGCGCGTCGTCGCGCGCGCATGCCGAAATCCTTCTAAAACGTTCGGTTCCGCAAGGAATTCAAAATCGACTGTCAACAAACAAATCCGCCGACCCCTTGTGGGTCTCTAGGCGTGTGAGATAGTTCCCCCCGCATAACCCCCCCCAGGGACCCCAAACCGGAGATTTGACCCCCCCCTCGCCCCGGGCGAGCGCATCACGGGGCTTTGCCAGGCCCAGGAGGGCCGAAAGACGGGCCAAGAAGGCCCCATGAGGCCTCCAAGACGGCCCACGAGGGCCCCGAGACGCCAAACGAGCGCTCCAAGACGCCCAAGATGGCCCAAAGACGGGCTAAGAGGCCTCCCGGATGGCCCAAAAGGTCCCCACGAGGCCCCAAGAGGCCTCCAAGACGCGTCCCAAGAGGGTCCTTAGATGCAAAAATTGGCCCCTTCCCTTCGTGAAGCGTACATTTTTCACAAACTCGCCTTCTGAGCTGTCCGACGCTCCCAGATGGCCCAAAAGGCCCCCAATACCGCCCCAAGACGGCCCAAGAAGCCTCCACGAGTGTCCCGAGATAGCCCAAGAAGGCCCCAAGACGGCCCAAAAGGCGTCCAAGACGGCCCAAGAGGGCCCCGAAGACGGCCCCAAGAGCGCTCCAGGAGCGCTCCAAGTGGCCTCCAAGAGAGCTCAATATGGTCCCAGACGGTCCAGGAGCGATCAAAGACACCGAAGATGGCCTCCAGACGGCCCAAGATGCCCCCAAGAGGCCCCAAGAGGCATCCAAGATGCGTCCCAAAAGGGCCTCTAGACGCACAATTTGGCCCGTTCACTTTGTAAAACGTACGTTTTTCACAAATTCGCCTTTTGGGCTTTCCGACGCTCCCAGACGGCCCAAGAGGCCCCCAATACCGCCCCAAGACGGCCCAAGAAGCCTCCAAGAGGGCCCCAAGACAGCCCAAGAGGGCCCCAAGACGGCTGAAGAGGCGCCGAAGACGGCCCAAGAGAGCCCCGAAGACGGCCCCAAGAGCGCTCCAGGAACGCTCCAGGTGGCTTCCAAGAGAGCTCAACATTGTACCCAGACGGTCCAAGAGCGATCAAAGACACCCGAGATGGCCTCCAGATGGCCCAAGACGCCCCCAAGAGGCTTCCAATATGCGTCCCAAGAGAGTCCCTAGACGCAAACATTTGCTAATGTCCTTCGAAAGACGTACATTTTTCACACATTCGCCTTGTGGGCTTTCCGACGCTCCAAAACGGCCCAAGAGGCTCCGAAAACGGGCCCGACACGGCCCAAGAGGCCCCCAAGACGGCCCCACGACGGCCCAAGATGGCCCCAAGACGGCCCAATGGGTCCCCAAGACGGCCCAAGAAGGCTCCAAGACGGCACCAAGAGGGCCCCAAGAGGGCAACCAAAAAGTCAGAAATCTAGCTTTCCGCCCCCACGAGCCCCAGGGGGGCCCAAGAGTGCCCCAAGAGGCCGCCAGAGGCCCCCAAGAGGCCGCCAAGACGCCCCAAAGAGCCCCCAAGAGGCCCCCCAAAGACCCCCAGACGCTTCCGTATTGCGAGACCGTGAAGCCAACTGCATTGCACTCCGCGCATATAGCCTTGCTCTCCCTCGTGAAGTGCTCACTATCTTGCTCGGCGCTAATGTGCTGCTGCCGCGCGAACTGTTTCGTGCGCGCTGCGAACGTCAACAGCCTCTTCACCCGTTTCGACTCATCTGCCACATCTTTCGCGGTGATGCCTCGCTGATCACAGCTTCCGCACACCACTCTTGTTCCTTTCGTCTTCCGGTGGTCCTCCACTTGGTTGCGGGTCGGAGGCCGACCTCCCAGAAGGACACCCCGCACCCGGGTGCACAGCACGCAAGGCGCTCGCAAAACACGCCCCAGACCACCGGCATCACTCAAACATTTGGACCCCCTACGTATCTGCCACTACCCGCGCGCGACACCGCACCCTCACACAAGACGCCGCTGGCCAGAAACTCCTGGCCTCGCAAAACTCACAGAAGGGGTCGGCGGATGTGGCGTAAGCCTGTAGAATCTACAAACACAGGGTTTCGCAACACGGGTTGTCGAACAAAAACGTGCGCGCGCGCTCTTGCGAATTCTTCGGAACATCATGCGTTTTCAATATGTTCATAACATGCTACCAAGCGGGCTTCGCGAGCGCGCATGTCGAACTCGTTCGAACGCCCTTGCGCGCGTGCTTGGGTGGCACGATCCGTGTCAAACCATACCAGGCGAGCCACTCTCGCGCGTCTGCCGCGCGCGCATTTCGAATTCATTTACCTTCATCACCGACGCGGAGACGCCGTAAACACCGTCGGCGTGATCAGCGTGTCTTTCCTCGTCGTCGCCGTCGTCGTCCTCTTTGGCGTCGTCGTCGTTTCCGTCGTCGTTGTCGCCGTGGTCGTCCTTCCTCCTCCCTCGTCGTCGTCGTCGTCGTCCGTCGTTGGCGTGTCGTCGTCGTCCCTCCTATTTCGTCGCCGTCGGCGTCGTCGTCGTCGTCGTCTTCGTCGTCGTCGTCGGCGTCGTCGTCGTCGTCGGCGTCGTCGTCGTCGTCGGCCGGCGTCATCGTCATCGTCGTCGTCGTCGGCGTCGTCATCGTCGTCGTCGTCGGTGTCGTCGTCGTCGTCGAAGTCGTTGTCGTCGTCTAAGTCGTCGGAGTCGTCGTCGGTGTCGTTGTAGTCGTCGTCGTCGTCGAAGTCGTCGTCGTCGTCGGTGTCGTCGTAGTCGTCGTCGGCGTCGTCGTCGTCGTCGCCGCTGTCGTCGTCGTCGTCGGTGTCGTTGCCAAGTGCCATTTGGTACCTACCGTCACGGTCTTTAGAGGTCTTGCGACCAAGTTGCGGGTGGGAGGGTGGGATGTTTGCACGAGCAGTGGAGAGGACAGCATCAAGACAGTCAAAGTATATTGCACCACGTCGGTTGCACAATAGAAGTTTTGTCATCACGTAGATTGCAGAACATAGATTGCACCACACAGATTGCACAACTTCGATGGCACCACTTATATTACAAACCACATATATTGCACCACGTACATTGCGCAACATACGTTGCACCACGTAACGTGCACCACATAGACTGCACATCATATATTGCGCATCACATAGATTGCACCATCTGGATTGCACCGCATGTGTTGCTCCACAGATATTGCACAAGAGATGTGGTCCAGCATAGATAGGTAGCACAACATATGTTGCACCACGTAGCTTGCACCACATGGTTTGTTACAGATATAGTCAGAACAAATATTGCTAGAGCCACACTGTTTAGGGTCTCCATGCTGGCTAACATTAGAGAGTCGTCAGAGTGTAATGTTTGGAGGAAGTCTCGGGCAAACCCTCTGATTTGGCAAGCGCATCTTTGTATGATCGGGAGGGGCGTGTGATCGGAGAGCTGCGACAAAAAGCATGTGCAACCACATCAGGGTTACATATACTGTACGTGCACCCCCAATAGCCAGGATGGTCAAACATCGCCTCCAAGACTGTCCAAATTGATATGCCTCTAAGATGGCCAACATGTCCCCAATACTCCCCAGAGGCCCCCAAGACTGTCCAAGCTCGCCTCAAGAAGGCCAGAAGACGGCCCAAGAGGGCTCCAAGAGGACCTTCACGTGGCTCCGAGAGGACCTTCCAGAGCCCACTGATTTCCCAAAAAGGTTGATTTCCCAAACAGGTCTCTAAACAATTTTCACGACCACGCCGAAGGCGTCGTCGATATTTGTTCGGGGAGTGATGCGAAAACAGCTGCGCTACATTGACGCGGGCAGTTGCAACACGTCGCCGCTTCGACAGCGACACAATCAAGTTGAGCGACAAGTCAACGGGAGGGCAATCATCCTCCACGCAGTTGCGCGCCCACTTCTGAGACCCCCCATCGGACCATTTGGCCAAGCACCTCGTGGGACAGCCTTTTGGTTAGTCCTCTCCTCTCCGGGCTTCCGACAGGACGCCTCCCAGAGGCACCCAAGAGGCCCCCAGATACCCCGAAACGTGAAATCGCGATCTCATCTTTCGAATCGGTGAGCACCGCGAAAACCAATCGGACAACGGTCCCATTGTCTTTTTTTGGGGAGTGCGACGATCCTGGAGCTCAAGAGCTCTCGGATCTCGGAGCGCCCTCTGGCAGCCTCCGAGACTCTGGGGAGGCGGTGCTGGGCGGTCCCGAGGGGCCCCGGGGCGCACAAAAATGAAGGGGCCCTGGGACACACAAATAAATACACACAAATAAAACTATTCCCCATATTTTCCTATATTTTCTCGGTTTCTGTCCTCCTGCCCACTTCCCATATTTTCCTACATGTTCTGGAGAATCGAGGATGAATTGTGTCTGTGTGTTTCTTTTCCTCCTGAAAAAAAAGCGGCATGACCATGAGCTTTCCGATGTCTGCGCGCAGCTCCCGGACCTGCTCGGGAACCCCTCCCTGGCGCCAGGGGGCCCAGCGCAGGTCCAGGAGCTCCGCGCGGAGCTCCGGAAGCGTATGCTTCTGCAGCTGCTCCTTCTCCGAGTCTTGCTTCGGGGGTACCGTGGGTTCGTGCCGTTTCGACCCTGGCGTTGGGTCCTGACACCGCGGAGATCGTTCAGCCTTGAACGATCGGCCATTTTCGAAAACGTGGGATCGTTCAATATCGACCGATTCCGGGTCGCTGACGGCGTTCAACGTTGAAAACCGGCGACGCTCAACATTGAACGCTGGCGACGGGGTCGCTGGCGGTCGATACGAGGCGACGGGTTCGTGTCGTGTCGACCCCAGCGTTGGTTCCCTACACCGCGGGGACCGTGCAACCTTGAAGAACCATCGGCCGTTTCCGAAACGTTAGATCGTTCGATATCGACCTGTTCTGGGTTGCTGGGGGCGTTCGATGTTGAACGCCGGCCTGGGGGTCGCCGCTGGTCGACACGACGCGAATCTGCCATGCAGAAGGTCTTCATGGCAGTTTCGACATGCTCTGTGCCCAGAGTCCCCCCACTGCGAGCTCCAAGAATTCGCCTCTCACGCCCGACGCTGGCCCAGGTGAGTTCCAGTACACACCGTGATGCCACAGAGACCACCAGCTTGCTCCCAATCGACCCCCCGCAGCTTACCCGAGAACCACACACTTGGGACTGACACTGGCGCGTGGGTCTCAACCGCTGAAGAGTAGAGCGCAATATGATGTCGTTGGAAACTGTATGACTCGCAAGGAAGCAACAGCAACTCAGACATTGTGGGGCCCATCCCGGAAAGTCGCACTTCCGAACGCGTTAGGCAATTGCACTAGCTTGCGCTAGAACCGCTAACAGGCCTGCCTCTAGTACTTAGAGTTCCCTGAGGCCCTTTGTTAATTGGGCATCTGAGGCTCATTGGGGTTATGTTTGCTCCTTCCGTGGCTGATCGCGACACCCAGGAACGATTGAGATCTGAGCATCCAACATGCCTTAATATGACCTCAGGGGCCCACCTTGATGCCCCCTTGAGGGTACCCAAGGCAGCACATGGGGGCCCCGAGAGAGTTACAACAGTCCTCTCCTGAGGGACACCAAGAAAGCCGCCAAAGGGATACGACGAACGGACCTCGAGAGCGTGGTTGGGAATCCGCTCGCCCCTCCCCTGCAAGACGGTCCACGAGGGCTTCCAAGACGGTCCGATATGACTTCCAAGACGGTTCCCAGGCAACCAAAATGTCCCCAAGACGGTTCCCATGCAACCAATATGGCCCCAAAAGATGGCCCCAAGAGGGTCCGACAATCTCTCCTGGGGGTCTCTTGGGCCGTCTTGGGCGCAGTCGGGGTCAGCCCGCGTGGCTATATAACCTAATCCAGAACAAACGCTCACAAATGTTTCTTGTTCCCGCCTTCTCGGGACTAAGAGCGTCGCGGACGAAGCGTCCAATAGGCCCAAGGGGCTCCCAAGACCAGCCCAAGACGCCCCAAGTAGGCTCCCAAAATGACCCCACGACGGCCAAAGAGGGCCCCAACACGGTCCCAACTTGCCGCCCCGAGAGGACTCCAGGACGGCCCAATAGCGCAACAGGGCGGACCCAATAAGGCCCAGGCGAGCCCCAGGAAGCCCCCTAAGACGGCCAAGGCCCGAAGAGAGAGGAGGAGGAGGAGGAGGAGGGGGAGGAGGAGGAGGAGGAGGAGGAGGAGGAGGAGGAGGAGGAGGAGGAGGAGGAGGAGGAGGAGGAGGAGGAGGAGGAGGAGGAGGAGGAGGAGGGGGGAGGAGGAGGAGGAGGAGGAGGAGGAGGAGGCCCCACGACAGACCCAAGACTGTCCCAGAGGGCCCCTCCCCGGTGTTTCCGCGGTGGCTCCCCAAGCAGCTCGAGGAACACGTCGTCCACCGGCGCGGCCGCTTCGCTCCACATCTCACGACCCCCACGGTGCTCCAAAAGGCAACGGGGGCGGCGGGGACTCGCCGCAAGCGGCTTGGATACACGCGGACATGCAGCGGCAACCGGCCATGGGGCTGGACAGAGCCAGCGCCATATGACAGAGGCAAACGGCTGGACGGGCCGACAAGCAGCAGGGGGTCCGGGAGCCGGAATAACGTGTGATCGCGGAGGCCCGCAGCCAGTGTCTTGCCTGAGCGGGCCCGTCTTCCCCTCTTCCCGTCGCGCCAGGGCCTCCTCCCTTCCCTCGTGCATCGCGGCCTGAATCTGCATCCAGTGCGCCCCCGGATGCCCGGTCGCCGGAGCAGTCACCCTCTGCCCCATCGCCGACGCAAAAAGTGATCGCGGAGGCGGCGGTCCCATCTCCGCCACCCTCGCTCCCCGCACCCTTCCCCCCTCCCCGCCCCCCCCCCTCGGTCGGCGCGGGGGCCTGCAGCATGCGCCTGTACTTGTCGTAGTGGGGGTGCTTCCACGTCGCCTCCTGGGTGTTCGCCTCGGCGGCCAGACGGCCCAGAAGCCAGCGACGGGCGGTCCGTCCTGGTTTTAGGTCGGGCAGGTCCCCCTACAGGCGGCTTTTGCAGGAGAAATAAACCATTGCCAACACTTCTTCAAAACGGATCCAACATCTAATCGAAACGTCGCCCCCGGACTATTTCTTTTGACAACTTTTGAATCTACTTCCTGTGGAGGGGCACGCCCGACGTGATCCTAGTTTCTGAAACGTTCCATGCACACCCTCGCCGTCGCTCGGACGTCCATTCCCTGTGCGTTTTTCGGTTTTGTGCGTGTTTTTCTTGCTCGATGATCCAGGATGCTCTTCGATGGTCCTCGCCGAGAAAAAATGCACACGTCCGAGCGATGCCAAGCACCCTCAAGAGGTCGCAACGGCCCCGCCCCAGCTGCACCTCAACGTGAGGCAGCCCGTGCGCGACCAGCATGCCAGGGCGCCGTCGAAAGACGAGGCCCCCGCGCGGGGGACCCCTGAGAAGCCTTGGATCGTCGCAGCACGCGCGCACACTGCTCCTTATGTTTCCTCTTCTTCCTCCTCCTCCTCCTCCTCCTCCTCATCCTTCCCCTCCTACTTCGCGTTCCTCCCCCCTCTCTCCTCGTCCTCCTTCTCCTCGTCCTGCTCCTCCTCGTCCATCCTCCAGTTCCTCGCTCCTCCTCCTCCTCCTCCTCCTCCTCCTCCCACTCCTTCTTCAAAAAAGGATCGCCGTCCTGAATCAAGTCGACCTCGGGACCCGTCCCAGAGTGCACTGAGACCACGCTTTCGAAGGGAATCTGGCCGTTGGTGATGAGGGCCCCCGAAAAGGGTCTAAAACCATTTCTTCGGCGGTGGACAAGCCTCCCTTTAGTCAACCACCCTGCAACGAAAACGGCCTGGGACCGAAACCGACGGACCTGGACCCGCAAACATGACGGCCGCGACGCCCTCTCGCGAACCGAAAACGGCCAAGTCACGAATCGACGTGTCAGGGTAGGAGGTCAATCAACCTCCGACTTCTGGAGAAGCGTCAACTTCATCCCAGACTGTGGAAACCGTCTTTCCCTGAGTCAAAACAGCACTCTTTTGGCCGCGCCTGAAAGGTGCACGCAAGTTTGACGCGCGGGCAAGAGAAAATGCTTGCTGGTCAGAAACGCTCACTCTAAGCTTTTGCAAGTAATCACATTTTCAGCGAACATGCCCTTTTAAAAAATCACATGCGCGCTGCCATGCATGAGCCGCTCTCCTTCTCAGGGCCCTCCTCGGTTGGCATGACAGACAATGGTCCTGGCGAGAACCTCCAAGGCTCTCATTCCTCCCAGACCCCCCCTCTGTCCCTGTCCTTCCTGGCGGCTCCTCCTCCTCCTCCTCCTCTTCCTCCTCCTCCTCCTCCTCCTCGTCTTCCTCCTCCTAAACACACCTCGGAATAGAACAAAACAGTCGCAGTGACACCCAGGATCGAAACTCAGGCTCACAGCGTCCCGCCAAAATCGTCATAAACCTCTATGACTCCTCCTTTTCTTCCTTCTCCTCCTCCGACGCGTTCGAGCGGTCGGCGTTATGCAGTGGCTGAGCTCCACGAACCACCACGCTCTGCCATGCCGTATTTTCCTCAGAAGCTCAGGGCGACGGGTCCCCCCCGCGGCTTCCGAGCGCGGAGCGTCGACCCAGTACACCATCCCGTCCTTCACGTACTGGAAAAAGTTCGCGGGCTCGGGGGCCGCTCTTTTTTTTCTCTCCTTCCGCAGCGCGCTGTCATCAAGACTGGACAAACTGCATGGTGTGCGAACCCCCGACGGCGTCCGACCGTTCATGTGAAAGCATTCACAGTGACTGCCAATCGCAAAGCCGAGCGCCCTTTGGGCACCAACTGGTTCCAAAAGGGGCCCTAAAGGGTCCCTGTAGGGCCTTTTTCTTCACCCACCGTTTGGGTGACCACCCGATACGTCGGGTTCGTGTCGTGCCTACTTCGGCGTTGGTTTCTAACACCGCGGGGATCGTTCCACCTTGAACGATCGGCCGTTTCCGGAACGTCCAAATCGTTCCACATCGAACGATTCTGGGTCGCCCGCGGCGTTCAAAGTTGAACACCGCTGGCAGGGTCGCCGCTGGTCGACACGACACGAACCTACCGTACGCGAAGCGTTCACACATTTCATGAGAGGGGGGAGGAAGTGGCTGTTTCGATAGCGGGTGAGGGATGCTTTCCCCTGGTGGGGGGATGCGCTGGTGGCAAGTGTTGCAACGTGTCTGATTCATGGCTTGCGCAGGGAAGCGAGGATTGTCCGGTGGCGACTTGCACGGCGGGGGAGGGGGGGGAGACGTGGAAGATCGCCGCGAAGGAACGATAGAAAAGGGGAGGACGAGGGAACGGAGGAGCGCAGCTGGACGGAGGGCATGGGGCTGCAAATCTGGAGCCGGCAGGGGTGGGGGGGCAGGGGTGGGGAGCGACATCGACATTGGAAAGGGCGGGGAGGGCTGGGGAGAGCGAGAGGGGACTGGCCACTCGCAGCCCAGACTTCTGGCCCGAGCGCCCCCGACGGCTCGGCGGGCCCCGCGTGCCCCGGCGGCCCACGCGCGAGCTCTTCGATCCTGGTCGGCGGCCTCGCGCATCTGCTTCTCGCGGCACCGCGGTCGGGCTTTGTGGGATGCCGCGTCGCCCCTCCGGCCCCAGCGGCACGCTGTGCCCTGCACGCGGAAGGCGTGCCGCTGCGCTCCGCGGATGGCTGTCATACGGCCAGCAGGACAACTTTAGACCTTGCAAGAGCATCCCAGTGGCAGTGCAAACCACGTCTGTGGCCAGTTCACTGCGGAGGCTGACGACTGCTGAATGAGACCAGACTTGAGCGACAATTTGGAGTGCTCAGGGGGCGCATTCCAGCAACTTTCGCCTTGGCCTCTTTTGAACTCGCTGCTCGTGCTGTGATCATCGATCCGGAACTCCGAGGACGCGAGGCTACACCCTCTCGAGGACATTATATAGCTCCCGCGGGAAAAAACTGTGAAAACGACTTCGACGAGGCAACGCTACTTTCAAATCATGCCAGGGACCGTGTTTTTCAACGAAGGACAGGCATACGTATGGCATCTTGCACAGCTGCCCGTTTTGCGTACAGCATGTTTGCTCTATGTGGTGGCCTAGGCAACAAGGCGGGGACCGCAACACCACAGTCGAGAAGACGTGCGCGCCGACCTACCGCCTTTGGAGCACGGCGTCCGTCCGATGTCGCAATTGCGGGGAGGACTGGAAGGTCGGTGGCCACATGGCTGCATGACCAGGCAATTCAGAAACGGCTAGGCATGTGGCGGAGGACACGACGGAAGGGCCGACTGTGCGGACGTCCTCGTGCAAGCTGCCCGCACGAGGTCGCGCGCAAGCGCCATCTCTTCAACGCGGCGGCCTCCTCTCCTCCTCTCCTCCTCCTCCTCCTCCTCCTCCTCCTCCTCCTCCTCGCTCCTCGCTCCTCGCTCCTCCTCCTCCTCCTCCTCCTCCTCCTCCTCCTCCTCCTCCCTCCTCGTTCCTCGCTCCTCGCTCCTCCTCCTCCTGCTCCTCCTTCTCCTCCTCCTCGTCCTCCCCCTCGTCCTCCTTCTCCTCCTCCTCCTCCTCCTCCTCCTCCTCCTCCTCCTCCTCCTCCTCCTCCTCCTCCTCCCCCTCGTCCTCCTCCTCCTCTTGCCTGGTGTGCACCCGCCTTCTGCCAAGATGAAACGGGGCTGCCTTGGGCTCGTCCTTGAAGGCCTGGCAGATCCACACGTAGTTCTCGTCCGTTGCGGGGTCGAAGTTGAGGTACCTCCAACGGCAACGGTTCACGGGCCCCACCGATCCACATATTATGCGCCACCGACATATCATACACATATCCGCCACGGTGCCGCGAGGCACTGCGTGGAGTGCCGATGCATGAAAGGAGATGGGCGCCCAGATGTTCTTTTGCCTTGAAGTGAAACGGCAATAACATAGACATATAAGTTTAGGTCCTGCAGGCGGATCTTGGACGAAGAATTAAACAGACCCTAAACATGTTCAGCGATGATAAGATATACTCGCGCAATCGTCCCCATACCATTTTTTCCATAGATTTTTGAGCATTCCTCCTGTGGAGGGGCGTGACCGACTTAACTCTTAAGCCACAGGCTCACGAAGGCCGCGGCCGAGGGGCAGCGCATCGAAGTTGGGACCTGAGCAGGGGAGCCCGATATCGAATCGACGAATTGGATCGGCAATCGAAATGCATCGGATCGGGGGACGTCGGCAGCCGAGTCGGGAAACATGGGATCGGCGGACATCGGAAGGCTAGTAGGCCTCCGTCGAGAAATCGGGGCCCAGATCGGAATCCGAAGTCGAATGGGATCGGAATCGGAAACCATCGACATCACATCGAATCGAGTCGGAGGAATCGAAAAGAACCCTGCCTCAGTGGAGTGTCCGCAGGTCCCTCAGCGTCCTCTGCACAGAATGCGAACAGTCGATTCGCTCTCGGACCCTGTCCCTAGCCCTTTCCTGAGGCCATAGGGGGGCCCAGGACCGACCGAGAGGACCCCCAAGCTCCCAAGACAGCCCAATGGGGGCCCCGAGACCGCCACAGAGCTCCAGGAGACTCCAAAGGCTGCCGGAGGACGGCCCAAGAGGCTCCCAGACGCCTCAACGGGGGCTTCAAGAGGCTCCCCGAAGACTGCCCCAAGGGGCAACCACACACCTCATGCGGTTCCTGCGGCGCTTGGCAGACCTGGTCCGTAGGGCCTGTCGGGCCTCCGACGCTTCAAGACGGCCCGAGAGGCCATGAATATCGCCCCAAAAAGGCCCAAGAGGCCCCCAAGACAGTCCAAGGGTCCAAGGGGGAGGAGGAGGAGAAGTAGGGGGAGGAGGAGGAGGAGGGGAGGAGGAGGAGGAGGAGGAGGAGGAGGAGTGAGGAGGAGGAAGAGGAGGAGGAGGAGGAGGAGGAGGAGGAGGAGAGGAGGAGGAGGAGGAGGAGGATCTCTTCCCTCCTTCCCGCGGAAAGGGGCGCCCGCGTGCCCCCCGTTGGCGGCCGCCCCCCCCCCCGGGGGCCCGAAGACGGTCCAAGGGGGCCCCAAGACGGTCCAAGGGGGCCCCACGACGGCCCACGAGGCCCCCAGGACAGGGTGCCGAGAAAGGAGCTCGAGCTGACATTTCGAGCCCTCCGCCCTGGCATGGCACCGGACACCGCCAGCAGGCGCCTAGGAGGCACCCAGGAGGCCCTTAAGATGCTCGAAGATGTCCTTCAGAGGCTCGAGAGAGGCTGCAAGGCACCCCAGAACCGCCTCTAAGAGGCATTCTAGGGGCCCCCCACACAATCTCCAAAATCATCAAAGGGGCCTCTGACCTGCAACCCATGCACGGTGGCGGGCCCCCCCCAGGATGGCCTCCTGGACGGCTGAGATGGCCTCCACGACGGCCAAGATGCTCCCTACAGAGCTCAAGATGGCCGCAAGGTGTATCCAAGACGGCTCACGATGCAACCAACACGGCCTAAGATGGCCTCAAGATGGCCCAACACGGCCAAAGAGACCCGCAAGAAGCCTCCAAGACTGCCTAAGACGCCTCCAAGAGGTCTTCCAGGAAGGCCCGAAGAAGCTTCCAACGGCCCAAGACGGCCCAAGAGGCCCCCAAGATCGCCACAGAGGCCTCCAAGATAGCCCTATGACGGCCCAAGAGGGGCCCCAAGTCGGCGCAAGAGACCCGAAGATGGCTTCCGACGGCGTTCGATGGGCCAAGAAGTCCCTCAGGCGGCCAAAGAGACTCCCTAGGAGCCTCCGACGGCCCCGAAGAGGCTAAGGAAGCCCTCAAGAAGCCTCTCAGAGGTCTCCAGAAGCGTCCGGGAGCTCCCAAGAGTGTCCCAAGAGGTTCCCAAGATGTCTCCTTCTCCTCCTCCTCCTCCTCCTCCTCCTCCTCCTCCTCCTCCTACTCCTCCTCCTCCTCCTCCCCGCAGCCATTTTGGCTCATGCCTTTCCGTAGCCCCCCCGCTCCTGGACCCTTCCCCGGAAGCTGGGCGAGGGCTGCTAAAACCGTGGCTGCTAAAACGGCCTCCCGGAAGGAAGAAACACCTTCCCGGAATGAGGCGCGGCACGCAAAACAGCCAACGGGCTTCTTCCCGGAAGGACAAAGACAACTTCCCGGAGGTCGACTTTTAGCAGCCACGGATTCAGCAGCCCTTGCCCGGCTTCTCCTGCTACCCCAATCCTGAGGGACAACGCGGCGGGCGTGCGGGACGGGGGGCCGCACAGGTGCGCGGTGGCGGCCCGTGGTGTGCAGGCTGGCGGAGGTCGCCGCGCTCGGCGCCGCGGCGGCGAGGCGTGCCGCGCGGCGGAGGTGCAGCGATGCCCTGGAGGCCGCTCTGCGCCATCGCGTGCAGTGCGGGCGCGGCCGCAGGAAACCCTCGCAAGAAACCCAATCCTGAAAACCCGCGCGCGAGGTGCACCGGAGGGGAAACCGGGAGCACTCGGAACGCAGCCGCTCCTTTTTCCGGCTGCGGGAGGCCACCGCGCGGCGCGCGGAGCGAAGAGACCCAGGGTTACCCTGACGAGAAGCAGATGGCTTCTTGATGCGCGCCCCCACTGTAGCCTCAAGACGGCGCCAGAAGCTCCCAAGCGGGCCCCGAGGCGGAGACAGCCCAACAGGCACTCAAGACGGCCCCTGGCTCTTGGCTGGACCGAGAACTCGCTTCTAGTCCCGCCCTGCAGGCGGCGGCGGCGGCGGCGGCGGGACGACGCGCCCCAGGGACGCAGCGCCGCGCCGCCGCAGGAGCGCTGCGCGGCACGCGGCTCGTGCCCCCGATCGGGCGGGTACAGTCGAGGCGCTGACCTAAGGAACCCTAAATTCGCCGGCCCAACGGGCCAGAGGCGTGCTAAGATCTCCGGTGACTGCTTTACAATCTTTCTACTTCGCGCGCGCGGGGCGGCCCCTGGGGGCCCCCGGGCGGAAAGTACCCCGGCAAGGTCCCGAGAGAGTCCCGGGAGGAGTCACCAGGGCGCTCCAGCAGCGCACCAACGCGGCTCCGAGACGTCCCCGAGAGCCCCAAGAAGGGCCAAGAGGCTTCCAAGAGGCCCCCAAGATGCTACATGAGGGGTCCGAGATGCCACAAGATCGCTCCAAGACGCCCACGATGGCCCCCAGACGCCCCAAGAGGCCTCCAAGAGCACTCCCGAGAGGGCCCCAAGAGGCAAAATTCACTGCTTTTCCTTAGGTTTTGGAGAGATTTTGGCGTTTCCACCTTTTCGGCTTCACGACACCCCAAGACGGCCCAAGAGGCCCCCAAGACCGCCCCAAGAGGGCCCAAGAGGCCCCCAAGAGGGCCCCAAGACGGCCCAAGAGGGCTCCAAGACGGCCCAAGAGGCCTCCAAGACGGCCCAAGAGGGCCCCAAGAACGCCCCAAGAGGGACCCCAGGGGGGGAACACGAAACAATATTTCGAGCCCTCGGCCCTCAGAAGTCCCCAGGAGGCCCCAAGAGGCCCCTAAGAGGCCCCAAGAGGCCCCCAACAGGCCCTCAGGAGGCCCCCAAGAGGCCCCCAAGCGGCCCCAGGAAGCCACCCAAATGCCCCCCCGAGCACGCAAGCAAGTGCCAGCGACGCTACACTATGGGCCGGCGGAATGAGCGAAGCGATTCAATAAGGAACGAGGCCCCTATTTTCCATAAGTTAAACTTCGATTTCGCATCGAAAACCTAAGGAAAATATGAGGCAAGCTGCGAAACAATCAAGGAACACGGAGCCCCGCCCCAGCGAAAAGGGTTCCTTCAGAGCCCCGACTGTACGCCACGGCATCGGCTGCAGAGATCGCCCGGGCTGCTGCTGGCCCCCGGCTCGGTCGGCCACAGCTGTGTGCGGAGGCCCCCGCCTGCCGCCCGCAGGAGGAGGAGGAGGAGGAGGAGGAGGAGGAGGAGGAGGAAGAGGAGGGAGGAGCAGGAGGAGGAGGAGGAGCAGGAGGAGGAGGAGGAGGAGGAGGAGGAGGAGGAGGAGGAGGAGGAGGAGGAGGAGGAGGAAGAGGAGGAGGAGGAGGAGGAGGAGGCCTGCCGCCCGCAGGCAAGGCGTGCTGCCTCGACCCCCGCGCTGGAGGCGCTCGGCGAGGCGACCGCCGCCGGCGTCGTCGTGACCGCCCCCGGGCGCGCACAGGCGGGAGGACCAGCCGGCTCTGGACGTGGGCGGCGGCCTTGCCGTCGCTCGGACGTCCATTCCCCGTGAGTTTTGTGTTTTTTTGTGCGTGTTTTTTTCATGCTCGATGCTCCAGGGTGCTCTTCGATGGTCCCCGCCGAGAAAAAATGCACACGTCCGAGCGATGCCAAGGCGGCGACAGCGTGAGTGGCGACGTCGTGGAGGCTCCCACCGCTGGGCGCTGTCGTGCCGTTCTCTCGGCAGCCGAGCCGATGTTGGCAGAGCCTGGCGGGGCAGACGAATGGCGGGCGACGGGCGAAGAGCACGACGACGACGACGACCGACGACGACGACGAGCGACGACGATGACGATGAGCGACGACGACGACGACGACCCGAGGCGAAGGTCTTTGTGCAGGGCCTGGCCGCGGAGTGGCGGCTGGCCGAGCAGGCCGCGGCTCTCGCGGAGCCCTCGCGGGGAACCCGCAAGGAGGCCGTGGCTGCGCTCGCGCCGCGCGGCGTCCGCGAGGGTGTGACTCCTGCTGGGTGGGGTTCGCTGGGATGCCATGCTCCAGATCGTGTTCCACTCCGTCAGTATCATGATCACTCTATCATTCCCTCCGCCCCCTTTCTTCTCTGTAGACACGAGCGCTGTCTAGATCACTTCAGGCATACAACTTTTCCGTCTGACCGTCTGACATGCTCACAACCTCCACGAGGTATCCCGTGACATTTTCATGGTGCCGTTGCGCAGTTATTGTGCCAAGAAGTTATCAGAGGTCTCAATCGTGGAAGAAAACAGATCGTGCTCCACTTCGCGCTCCACTCCAGCCCGAGCACCTTCCAGGTCCTCCCTCGGGCATGTCGCGGCGACTGGCGCCGTGGCCCTGGAGCCCACCGCTGGCCTCTTGACGGTGACGACCTCGCTCGAGGTAGCGTGCGTGCTCCTCGTGATGGTTCTCTGGAAGCTGCAGCTGCTGCTGCAGTCGCTGACGGTGAGCCTCACGGGGAGGAGGTCGATGCGTTGGCGAGGGCCGAAGCTTCGCGCCCTGAACGGGTGCTCGAGGATGCGCTGCGTAAGCTCGAAGCGCTGGATGCGGACTGCGCGTCTGCAATGGACCGTGACGCGAAGCTGGCCTCCGTGGCTGTGGCGCGGGATGCCCCATCTCGGGTCGACGAGGCGCTCGCGGCAGTCACTCGTCAACACTCCACTCCTGGTGGCGTCCCCGAGATCGTATCCCTGCAGAGCGGCTTCTCGTTCCTGGTCCTTGTCCAAAGGTTCTTGATGCTGCTGCTGATAGCGGTCTCGCCGAGGACGGCCCCCCAGAATGGGGAGTTTGCGCTGGGTGCTGGGGCGTTCGCCGAGGTGCACGTCCATGGCTCGCGCTTGCTGTTCCGCCACGTTCCTGTGTCAGTGTTGCGACTGCGAGCTGTCCTCACCCACGCTCTCCTGCATGTGTGTGTGTGTGTGTGTGTGGTCTGCGGGCTCTCCAGGTGCATTGCGTGCACCGAGGTCGTGCCTGGCCCCAATGCCAGGCACGGGAACCTCTTGGCGGCGCTTGCCCAGCGTCCCCGGCGTTTCGGACCGTCTTCTTCGGGGTGGCCCGTCGCGTGGGCGAGGAGGTCCGCATCCATCTTCGGCACGGCAGGCGCACCCAGGCCCCCGGCGGGCCCACCCACCGCCAGGCAGTATGCGGGGTAGCTCTGTTGATGTAAACAAATCCTCCTCCTCCTCCTCCTCCTCCTCCTCCTCCTCCTCGTCGTCCTTCCTCTCCTCCCCTTCTTCCTTCTCGCCCACGTGTTCCGCGAAGCGTTTTCAGAACGGCTGGAGGAACACCTAGTCCGATAGCTTGACCGAGCTCTGGCCGCAACGTTCGGCCACATAGGCGCTTCAAAGTGCAGGGGGCGGTGTGATCCGCCGAATGCGTCTTCGACCTGCCCTCCATGTGATTATCATAAGGGTGCTTGGCGTGCTGGACTTTTAATGTTTGAAACCCTTCCAACAAAAGGTTCCCAATAACCTCCGGCTCAGCCAGGCGGCCCACCGGAACATCCTCCCAAATCCCCCCCCCAAAACGCCTCCAAGACCTGGAAGATGGCCCAAGATTGCCTCCAAGACGATCCAAGATGCCTTCAAGATGGCCCAAGATGGACCCAAAGCGGCCCAAGATGGCCTCAAGATGGCCCAAGACGCCTCTGAGACGTTCCAAGATGTCTCCAAGAGGACCTCCGGGATGCCAGCATACGTGAGGTGCAGTTGGTTATATGTGTAATGTTTACAGACTATATACATATGTGTATCTAAGTATATGCACATCTATGTATAACGCAACAGGTCCATGTTGAATAACTATTTCCAAGTTGTCCCCTTTATCGGGTTTCTGACAGCCGAAGCCTGCCCCAGAGGCCTCCAAGATACAGTGCGGGCGCGGCCGCAAGAAACCCTCGCAGGAAACCCAACCCTGAGAATCCGTGCGCGAGTTGCACCTGAGGGGAAACCTGGAGCACCCTGAACGCAGCAGTTTCTTCAACGACCGCGGGAAGTCGTCGCGCAGCGCACGGAGCGAAGAAACCCAGGATTCCCTGACGAACAGCAGATGGTTTCTTGATGCGCGCCCCCACTGCAGCGTCGAGACGGCGCCAGAAGCTCCCAAGCGGGCCCCGAGGCGGAGACAGCCCAACACGCACTCAAGACGGCCCCGGAGACCTCCAAGATGGCCCGAAAGCGTGCCAAGAGGGTCTCGAGACGGCCCAGGCGGCCACTTGTAGGCCCCCAAGATGCCCCCAGGAACCCCCAAGTGGTCTCAATTTCCTCCTTCTCCTTCTCCTCCCTCTCCTCCTCCTCCTCCTCCTCCTCCTCTTCTTCTTCTTCTTCTTACTCCTCCTCCTCCTCCTCCTCCTCCTCCTCCTCCTCCTCCTCCCTCTGCCTTCCACAAGTGTTCCCCCAAAGGTTTCCAGAACGGCTGGGGGAAGACGCAGCACAATAGCTTGTCTGGACTTCGACCCAACGTTTGGCCACATCGGCGTTTCCAAATAACAGGGGACGGATGGTTCGCCGTAGACGTCTGCGATACATACGAATGCTCAAGTCTATGCGTTTGGCTTTCCGCTGGGTCACCACAGTCCCTGTGTGCATCCGCCATCAATCGTAACACTCAATGAACTGTGGAAACACCACGCCCAGCAATCCAATCTTCAACTGGCCTGCTCAAAGACATAGGTATCGGCAGATACAGCACGCATAGATAGACACACGCCCGCCACGCCACGCCGCGCATGCGCGCGCTTGAATGCTCGCGCACATCCGCGCACGCCTTCCACGAACCACTTACGAAACTGTGCCAGTTACGAGGGGGCCGTCAATTTGATGCGCTGAGGGGCTAGTAAAGCGAATCTCGGGCGGAGATCGGGATGGTTGGAGCTTCTCGCGTGCCCTGAAAACACAAGCACCAAACTGAGGATCCGCAAACGACTCCTCAAAGCAGGCACAGCCCTGTACCCAGCGCTGGCCATGACGAAGCACGAACGGGGTGCTCTGGCAAGCAGGATGACCGTCTCGGATCGAGCGCGCGCGCGCGTGCGCCGCGCAAACGGACCTGCGGCCGGCCCAGGAGCGGGCACCTCCTGTGCTCCTGCAGGTTGGGGTTCTGGCCGTCCGAGCAGTACAGGATCCCGTCCACGATCGTCTGCCGCGCGAAGCCCCAGGCGGACAGCAAGGATGAGAGGAGAGCAGGCGGGAGAGTCTCATCCATGGCGGGGGGGGGGGGAGGGGAGGGCGCTCTGGTCACGGGCAAGGCGGGGGATGGCGAGGCCAGGGGGGCAGGCGTGGGCCCGCGCAGGATGGGCCGGGGCGCCACGAGGATCGATCGCTGGAGAAGGCTGATGGACGCCTCGCAGGCAGCGACCTCTCCCATGCATCGGCCGACTCGGAGACGGAGCGGGGGAAGGCCACGTGCAGTGGAGGATGACATCTGGCGGATGCCAGAAACCCTGAACACAAAACAAATATTGTCGTCTCTCGGGGGGCTTTTTTGTTTGTTTGTTTCCGTCGCCCTCCGCCAGCCTTCCGCCGGCGGAGGCAGCCTCGTTTTACTTCCGCCGACCTTCCGCCGCCTTCCGCCGCGGAAGAGATGGCAACTCCTTCGGTCCTCGAAGGCAAGGCCCTTTTCGGACTGCCTCTTCCACGGATCGCCCGACTCGGAGACTGAGCGGGGGAAGGCCACGTGCAATGGAGGACGACATCTGCGTCGAGCCGGCCTTGCTGTCAGTACCCTGCTTGATGGCGATCTGAACCTCATCCCTGGTCACGCCGAACGTGCGCCAAGGGCCCTGGTTGAACATGCTGGTGTCCCTATCCTGCTTGACTTCGATCACGTTCAGAAACTGATCCCAGATCTCGGCTATATTACCGTTCCACTCGAACATGGTGAAATCCTGTGGCGACGGGTCGATGTACGTGGGATGGTTGGCACAAGTAGGGGCGAGGAAAACTACAACTGCTCGACTGACCCCAAGCTTGTCATCGTCATCGACCCCCCCCCTTCTTCCGAGAACTCGCAACCAACCTGTCCTGCTGATACTGCTGCCGCCCCTCCTCCACCTCCTCCACTCCTCCTCTAATCCTCGCTCTCCTTCTGCTGCTGCTCTTCCTCCTCTCCTATTGCCCATCCTCCTCCCCTGTCCCTCCCATCCCCCCCTCCCTCGGCTGTGTATTCTCCCCCCTCCTCGCGACCAACCCGTCCTGCTCGTACTGTGGTAGCTCTTCCCCATCCTCTTCCAGTTCTCCTCTTATCCTTGTTATGCTTCTATTGCTCCTGCACTCATCTCCTCCTCCCTTGACATTGCCGTCTATCCGCCCCTCGCGACCAACCCGTTCTGATGCTACTGCTGCCGCTGCTGTATCTTGCTGCGGCTCTTCCTCCTCCCCTCATTCCCACCCCCCATCCCTCGGCCTTGTATTATTCTCCATCCTCGCGACCAAACCGTCCTGCTGCTGCTGCTGCGGCTCCTCATCTAAACATCGATATCATGCTGCTGCTGTTCCTCACCCTTCTTCTTCCCCTCCTCCTCCCATCATTCCCTCATCCCTCCCTCAGCGTTGCATTACCCCTCTCTTCGCGACCAACCCGTCCTGCCGCTACTGTTGCCGCTCCTCATCATGCTCCAGTCATCCTTCCTGCTGCTACTCTTCCTCCCTTCAATCCACATCCCCCTCCCCTCACCACCCCCTCGAAATGTGCACTCTGCCCCCTCCTCGCGACCACCCTCTCCCGCTGGGACTGCTGCTGATGCTGCTGCTGCTGCTCCTCCCTATCTTCCTCCAGCCCTTCTCTGGGACTGGTCGACTGAGGTTGAGCTCGGGTTGCATCGGGCATGTCCTCCTACAGGCGGATTTTGGACGAAAAATAAAAAATAGTCAAAACATACGCAGACAGAGTGTGTGTGTATATATATAAATAGACAAATCGTCCCCAGGCTATTTTCTTACTATTCTCGAATATTCATCCTGCAGAAGGACGTCCCCGACTCAAGGCCCGGGGCTTGGATCGCCGACGGTGCCGGATGCGTGCACATCGCGCGCGCGCGCGCCCGTGCCGTGCTCGGGCAAGCCGCGCGCGAGGCCGCGGGCGTGGCCCCGCGTGGCACATCTTCAGGCCGTGGGCGTGGAAGGCTCGGTCCAGGAGCTCGGCCGCCGCCGCCGCCGCCGCCGTACTCGTCGTCGGCGTCGTCGGCGTCGTCGTCGTCGTCGTCGTCGTCGTCGTCGTCTCCCTTCAGGATCGGCGGCACCGGCCGTAAGGTCTTCGCAGTCTGCAGGCAGAGGGCGTGGAAGGCTTGGGCTGGGAGCTCGGCCCCGCCGAGCAGGTGGGCGGTCAGGAACGGACCCTGAGATCCGACGTGGCGAAAACACTGCAGCACCGTAAAAAAACACGCCCGGAGCCCTACTCCGAGTTTCTTGAGAGGCGTCGGGGGGGCGTCACCCCCGCCGGCGGCCCCACGTCGACCCCCCGTCGCGGGTAGCCACCGCGCGCCGAAGGCGCTCCGACCCCCGTCGCGGCGCGACGACGAGGCGAGGTCGACCCCCGTCGGGGGGGTACCCCCCACGCTTAATGGAGGATGACGATTAATAAATGACCGGGGGTCGTGTTCACGCGGCGGCGCCCGGGATGACGATTAGAAAAAACCGGCCGCGGGCTGGAAAACTATTTTTTAAATCGTTCTCCTCCAGTCCGAAAATGGTGCAGAAATAGCAGAAAGCTATTTTTTAATCGTTCTCTCCCGTTGTTGTAGTAATCGTCATCCCGCATCAAGAAAAGGAGGGTAGGCCTCAACTTTCAGCGCCAATTTTCGAGCCCGATCGACCTGCGAGGGCCCCCGGGCCCGAACAAAAGAAGGCCCAACCGCCGGGCTCGAAACAAAAGAAACTGCGACGCCCAGGATCTCGGGGGAAAGTGGCGGGGAGGCTCGGCATGCAGGAGGCGGGGCTCGGGCGGGCGGTACTGGAGGGTCACCCACACGGGGGGGGGGTGAAGAACACGGCCCCACAGGGGCCCTTTAGGGGCCCTTGGGGGCACAGGCACCAGCCGGTTCCAAAAGGGGCCCAAAAGGGCCCCTTTGAGTAGACGGACGTACGGCCAGATGTCCAGCGTTCAGGGTGGCAGGTCGTGCTTGCGCCGAGCTCAGACATCGTTCGCGTGGGCCATTCGGGAGCATGATAGTCTGAGAGCTAAGATCTGTAGATCGTTGTGTGCGTGCGGTGATCGTGGGTGGGTCATCGGGATCATGTAGTGGTAGTTCCTCGGGGGGAGAGGCGGCCCCGACCGTACAGATCAAAGTGAGAGGGTGGGGGGGGGGGCAGGGGCTACGATTTGTTCTTCCCCCCCCCGTGTGGGTTGACCCCCCGTTGCGTACCACCCGCCCGAGGGGGCCCTCGCGGAAACGGGGCTTTGGATCCCCCGGGGGGCCTGGCCCAGGACCAGCGCCGCGTTGCGCGACAGGTCGCTTCTCTGGGACGGCCGCGGGCCCCCCGCGGGGGGCCCCCCTAAAATTAGGTCGGGCAGGGTCTTCTACAGGCGGAGCTTGTGAGCAACACGTAAAAAAGTCAAGCCATAACCAACAATAGTCAAACACAGTGGAACGAGCACGAACCATCGTCACCAGACTATTTGTGTGCCGTTCTCGAGTCTCCTCCTGTAGAGGGACACGCCCGACTTCACCCTAAGAAAGGTGCAAAACACCTCCAGGACGCATTTCCTCTGAGACCACCTTCTTGCAGGGCGCGAGCTAAACCGTGTTCTCGGTTTTCGTGCTTGTGGTTGGCCGTTCGCCCTCGCTCTGTCTTCGTTCCGCCTGTGCTGCGTTTCCTCCTCCTCCTCCTCCTCCTCCTCCTCCTCCTCCCTCTCCTCCTCTTCCTCCTCCTTCTTCTCTCCTCCCTCCTCCTCCTCCTCCTCCTCCTCCTCATCCCTCCTCCTCCTCCTCCTCCTCCTCCTCGTCCTCCTCCTCCTCCTCCTCGCCCAGAGGGTCACGGCTGATCTCCTCCTCCTCCTCCTCCTCCTCCTCCTCCTCCTCCTCCCTCCTCCCTCCCTCCCTCCCCCCCTCCCTCCCTCCTCCCTCCCTCCCTCCTCCCTCCTCCCCGCTGACGGCCAACTGGGGGACTATAAAAGGCCCTGCGGGGCGGAGGCGCACGCAATAGGGTGGACCTCGCCCCGAGAAGCGGCGACGAGCCAAGACTCAAATGGAGACTCCCTCCCTTCCCTTCCTTCCTTCCCTTCCCTTCCCCCTTCCCTTCCCTTCCCTTCCCTTCCTTCCCTTCCCTTCCCTTCCCTTCCCTTCCTCCTCCTCCTCCTCCTCCTCCTCCTCTCCTCCTCCTCCTCCTCCTCCTCCTCCCCCTCCCCCTCCTCCTCCCTCCCCCCCCTCCTACTCCTCTCCCTGTCCTCCTCCTCCTCCTCCCTCCTCCATCGTCCCTCAACCTTCCTTTCCTCTCTCCTTCCTTTCCCTGCTCCTCCTCCTCCTCCTCCTCGTCCTCCTCCTTTTTCATCTTCACCCTCGTCGTCGTCGTCCTCCTCCTCCTCATCCTCCTCCTCCTCCTCCCACGTCCTCCTCCTCCTCCTTATCCTTCTCCTTATCCTCCTCCTCCTCCTCCTCCTCGTTCTCCCTCCTCTTCTCTTTTCCACCCGTCTTCTCTTTCCTTCCTTCTCCCTCTTCCTCCTCTTCGTCGTCGTCGTCGTCATCGTCCTCCTCCTCCTCCTCCTCCTCCAGATAATTCGCCCCTGTCGCATCCCCACACGTGTCCGTGGGGCAGGTCGGGGGCGTTTCGCCTGAGACTTCCTCATGTATGGCCCTGAAGCTTGAGATGTACAACCGCTTCGCTGATGCAGGGCGGGCCGTCAGAAACATGTGGCTCTCGCCTTAGCGCCGCGCACGCTCGTGTTAAACGATTGCTACAGCTTCACGGATGGAGGGCGACTCCGTCCGAAAATGTTGCGCTCGCCTTCGCGCCGCGCTGACTTCTCAAATCTTTCAAGACTATCACGGACGTAGGGCGGGTCTTTGTCAAACTGTGGATCTCGTCATAGCGCCGCGCACACTCGTCTTGAAATCTTACAACGCTTTCGAGCATTCTTATGGTCGTCGTCCCACGAGCTATATTCCAGCACGGTTTAGGGTAGTCAGGGCGCAACACCCACGTTGATTCGCGGTGTTGAACTCCCAGGAATGATGTTCTGTTGCGAATTGATCTTGTCAGGACGCAGCAACCACGTTGATCTGCGGCACTGAAGTCCCAGGAATTCTGTTCTGGCACGGTTGGGGATTATCAAACGGTTGTCTTCCAATGAGACCCGCAATGATAACCAATTCTTGTAGGGACCTATGAACATAGAACTTGGAGGGAGTGCTTTTTGGTTTATTGCAACATCGTTGATACGTCTCGGGCTTACACTTGTCCTCCCTCTTTCTCCTCCTGCTCCTCCTCCTGCTCCTTCGTCTCTTCCCCCCGATCCTCCCCGCCTCCCCCCTCCCTTTCCGCTCTTCCGCCCTCCTCCTCCTCCTCCTGCTCATCCTCTTCCTCCCTCCTCATCCCTCCTCGTCCTCCTCCTTCCCCACCTGGTCCTCCTCCATTCTCACCAGTCCTATGCTCTATGCTTTTATGTCAATCATCCTCGCTCCTCCGACTCCTCCTCCTTCTCCTCCTCCTCCTCCTCCAGTCCTCTGCCACTGGACTCTTGGGGAGGTACACGATCTGGAACTCGGGACCGAAGGTGCCCTGCCGAGTCCTCAGCCAGGGCGCCCCACTGGGCTCGGCTCTCCTGTGCCGTCCTCGCTCCGCTGCTCTGTGGGGAGGAGAGAGACAGGAGAAGGAAGGCATCAAGCAGGATGGAGACAATAGGAGCGCTCCCCTGTGGACCCCCTCCGTATCGTTTCCCATCTGGCGGCTTCGCTCTGACTTTCACCGCGTACGGTCAGGAACTCTGCGGAGCGTGTCGCGGCGGCGGCCCCGCCGACACGCTACATTGCCTTGCGAGCGGACAGCGTGTCGCTTCGCTCCGCGGGGTGGGAGGCTCGAAAAAACTCGGGACATTGACGCTGAGGGGTGGGGAAGCGGATAACGCGCCGAGCCGAAACGTGGTGGGCCAGAACCGGCGGTGCGACACTCTGCAGTAGGAGCTCGACCACAAGAAACCTTCCACGAGAAACCCAACACTGAGACCCCATGACGTCCATTGATCCTTGGTGTGGGAACGTCATGCTTTCCATAACAATACCATCGAAACCGAAGAAACACAGGGCACCCTGGAGGCAAGCAGGGTGCTTTTTGGCATGGACTTCCACTGTATGGGAGAAAGCGTAAGGCGTGACGCTGGACACATGCCAAACCCGCACGCGAGGTCTCCTTTTCAGTGTGAACGCTGCCTCGGGGGTGAGAAAGAGAGAGCGCAAACCGAGAGAAACAACCCTTTCAGTGCGCGCACGCCTTTTCGGAGTGCCACGGGCGTAACATGCACATGACAGCGCCTCACGGGGGTACACCAGAGGGCCAGACATGCAGCAACGCAGCACCCTCGTTCCCTTGCGAAGCGCCAGAGAGAGCCACTGCAAAGAACGCCGCACTCTCGATCGGGAACTACTTGGCCTGGTTTGGGTCGAGGTCAGGGGGAAGAAGGGGGCACTGTCGATGATGGGCCGATCCACTTGGCACGCCAGTCTTGAGGACTAGGACCCGCTGCTGCGAGCGGGCAGATCGCTGGTCCACCATCGAGGCCCGCAATCGCCTGCCTCAAGATTGGTCACTGGGGCCGAGACATGAACACGATCTCGTCCTCATCCCACTTGATGATCACCTTGTAGCCTGCGCGTCGGCTCGCCATCGCTCGGAAATCCATTCCCCGTGCATTTTTTGGCTTCGTGCGTGTATTCTTTCGCAAGACGGATGGCCCGACATGCTCCTCGATGGTCTCGGCCGAGAAAAAAGGCACAAGTCCGAACGATGCCAAGTCGGGTGCTTCTGCCCCCACACCGCGCATGCTGACCCGAGCAAGGCAAGGGGAGAAGCGGTGGCTGACGCTGGCTTCTCCTTCGGCCCAATCCAGAGGGTCACCACACAACTGACAAGCTTGACCTCGGCAACCACCAACATGTTCTACACCGCGTCGATGGTTCGACCTCGAACCGATCGCGGCCACGATCGTTAATTCCGTCGGGTGCAGTGGCGTCACCGCGTCCCTCGGTGCTTCCGCGTCGCAGCATTCAACCATGAACGCCTTCGCCGGCGTCGCCAGCGCGCCATCGCCGCATGAGCCTACTGTACGTCTGGTGTGCGATTGCCTATCTTCGCAACGTCAAGCAATTGGCGATCTCCCAACTTGCTGGCGCCCGACTGCTTGAAAGGCGCGGGGATACAACTCTGCATACATGCATATCTGTTATCTGTTTTATCCAGGCGGTGAACAAACCCAACATACTGTATTCCATGCCGAAAATGTATCCTTTTCGAGTTGGAGTTAAGCGACTCCACATCAAGACGTATATGGCAAACTTACGGAGTCGCACCGAGATAGCTGTGGTATGGCTGCGGGAGAGCGCTTAGGCAGTAACGGGTAACGACAGTCACACACGAGCGAAGTAGCCGAGGCGACGGCCTGAACCATGTGATGCGAAGAGTCCCCAAGGGCCAGGAGGTAACTTCGAAGATAAGCTGCACATAGCAGACGGACCGCAACCTATCGCTGTGATGCTGTGAGGTCGTTGCGTGCGACTGCCAGCTTCTCTGTCCTGCCGCCGCGCCCACGCAACCCTCGCGAGTGCTCACAGGGTGCACGGCGCATCAATGCAGCCAAGCATCAACCTGGCAGGGGAGAAAGCCTCACTGAATTTCGGCGGTAGTCCCTGCAGCATCCATCCAAAGCAGACGCTGCCAGCACGAGAGGGGAGGCCTCGTTCCCTGGCCGGCCCTCGGGCTGCCTTCCTGTGCCGACGCTGCACACGACACCTCTCGCGTGAGCCGGTGCGCCCCAAGGACCTGGACGCTGTTGGCGGGGCGCACGCCCTATGGTCCCTGCGAGCTGGAAGGACGAAGGCCTCCGAGCCTCGGGGGCGGCCAAGAGGGGGGTGTCCAAGAGGGGGGGGTGCAAATCATGACCGGCGGCATGTGCGCGGCATAGCGGGGGGGGGGGCAGGGACGTAATGAAATGAGAAGAGGCGCCATGACATCTGGGGAAATATCATGGCCCCCGCCATGATATCCACCCCCCCCTAGTCATCCCGAGGACCTGGACGCTGTTGGCGGGGCGCACGCCCTATGGTCCCTGCGAGCTGGAGGGACTGAGGCCTCCGAGCCGTAGACCAGGAAGACGAGGACCTCCTCCTCCTCTTCTCCTCCTCCTCCTCCTCCTCCTCCTCCTCCTCCTCCTACTCCTCCTCCTCCTCCTCCTCCTCCCCCTCCCCCTCCCCCTCCCCCTCCTCCTCCTCTCCTCCTCCTCCTCCTCCTCCTCCTCCTCTTCTTCCTCTTCTCCTCCTCCTCCTCCTCCTCCTCCTACTTCCTCCTCCTCCTCCTCCCCCTCCCCTCCCCTCCCCCTCCTCCTCTTCCTCCTCCTCCTCCTCCTCCTCCCTCCTCCTCCTCCTCCTCCTCCTCCTCCTCCTCCCCCTCCTCCTCCTCCTCCTCCTCCTCCTCGTCCTCCTCCTCGTCCTCCTCCTCCGAGTCTCTGGGCCACCGTCGCCCGAGCAGTGGGCCGGGAAGACGCCTCAACGGGTCTCTCTGCGCCAGCGCCGCGGCCCGCGGGCCAGGCCGGGAGCAACACGAGCACGCGCGGAAGCACGCGCGGGCCAGGATGCTCTAGGGCTCCCAGCTTCGCGCTCTCGCGCTCCGCGGAGCGCGAAGAACTTCGCGCTCTCGCGCCGCGCCCCCCCAAAAAGGGAGAAACGGAGGACGAGGAGGAGGGGGAGAAGGAGCGAGGGCCGCGAAGCGCGAGTAACTTCGCGCCCTCGTGGGAGCCCTTAAGGATGATGGGCTCGCGCCTGCAGGCGCGCGTCATCCCGCCCCTGCCCCGGGCGCCTTCCCTGCGCGTCCGTCGGCCGGGGTGGAGGAGGGGGGGGCTGGGGGCGCCGCAGGGCTCGCCGCGGCGAGGCAGGACCCCAGGCTCCGCACCGGGGCCCGGCGGCAGCATCAGGTCGGGCCTGCCTCCCCCATACAGGAGGATTTTGCACGACAAATCCAGACTACAAAACAAACAAAATACTCAACACATGCCCCCCAAATACTCAAACATAGTCCCCAGACTATTTTTGGACTATTCTTGGACATTCCCCCTGTAGAGGGACAGGCCCGACTTAATAATGCCCCGCAGCAACGGTCTCACGAGGAGCCGCTGTCCTGTCTCACGGAAGGGTCTCCTCTGGGGGGGCCACGTGGTCCCCTGGTCGCCTCCCAGTCTCTGGCAGACCCGTTTTGAAGGGCTGCACCGGGGTGAGCATAGGACCCCAGACCCCCTGGGGCCAACGGCGGTGGCCGTCTCACGCGAACCTCCGAGCTCACCGATTCCTCGCCGCGTACAAGAGGAGCCCGACCACAAGAAACCTTCCACGAGAAACCCATCCCTGAGACCCCTGAACGTCCGTTGATTCTTGGTGTGGGAACGTCATGCTTTCCATAGCAGTGCCATCGAAACCCAAGACACCCACGGCACCCTGGAGGCAAGCAGGGTGTTTCTTGGCATGGGCCTCCATTGTGGCCTCTGCCCCCTGGAGGCGGCGGCAAGAGAGAGCCGGGAGGGGGGCACCCACGGGGATGTCGTACTTCCCCTCGATCCGGTACTTGCTCGGGTTTGCCCCCGAGAACTTGGTGCCGAACGACATGACCTCGGTGGCGCCCAAGGAGACTGGCCAGAAACTTCGGAGCGCTCCCCGCGCACGCCGAGCCGGGCTGGGGTCCCCCCCTGGCTGCGCACCAGATGTGCACGCGCCGAACAAGCCTGGCAATCTAGTCCGTCCAATCGCCACACCGTGTTTCCATCTATTCGTGCCCGTCCTCCTCCTCCTCCTCCTCTTCCTCCTCCTCCTCCTCCTCTTCCTCCTCCTCCTCCTCCTCCTCCTCCGCCTCCTCCTCCTCCTCCTCCTCCTCCTCCTCCTCCTCTCGAGACGCGGGGGGGGGGGCCGCCCAGGCGTGCTCCAGGCCCCTCGTGCTTGGCGGTGCCCCTGCGCGACCAGGAGAGGCCGGTCATCCGCGATGATGAGGTGGCCCTCCTGGTTGCGGCGGAAGTCCTGCAGGCCCTCCGTCTGGTTCACGATCTCCGCCTGCGCAGGCTGGGGCCGAGGGGCCGAGGAGGCCTCCCGGATGGGGTCGGGGCAGGTGGGGTCGGAGCATCGCGCCGCATGGCCGATGCACCGGCGATGCACCGGCGATGCATCGGCGATGCACCAGCGATGCGTCGTCGGCGTCGGCGTGGAGAAAATCGGGCTCCGCATCGAGCCGCATCGCCGATGCATCGGCGATGCGGCGCGATGCCCCGACGCCATCCACTCGGACCCCGTCCAGGAGGCCGGCGCGGCACGGGGTGGGCCGAGAGCGCGGGGCGCTCCGCGCTGCGACCTGCCTCGCTCGGCGGAGGGGGGGGGGGGGGCGGGGCGGGCGACTCCTGGGTGCTGGCCCAGGGGGGGTGGCCCCGGCCTCGTCGGGGAGGCCCCCGGGAGGCCTGCGGAGCGCTCCTCTCCTGGGGCCGGGAGGGCCCCGCGCCCAGGCCCCCGACGTGGTTTTTAATCGCAGCGTCGACCCCCAGAGGTCGGACCCCTTCCCCGGGACGGGTTTTTTCATCCTGAATCGTTTTTGGATGGCCCCGAGGCCCGGCGAGGGCCCCCGGAGGCCGAACACAACGAAAAGCCTCCCGTCGTGTGCTTTTTTCCACAGCGCGAGGGGGCCGGGCCTGTGTGGGGGTTCCCAAAGTGGCGCGAGGAGCTGGGTGGGGGGCATGCGTGTTGGCCCAAGGGGTGGCCCCAGCCTCGTCGGGGATGCTCCAGGGATGGTCTGCAGAGCGCTCCTTTCCTGGGGGGCACTGGAGGGCCCCCAGGGGGCTCCCACAGTGGCGCGAGAAGCTGGGTGGGGGGCATGCGTGTTGGCCCAAGGGGTGGCCCCAGCCTCTTCGGGGATGCCCAGGGTGACCTACAGAGCGCCCCTCCCGGGGCGTTTGGACCATTCTTGGGGCGCCGGGATTGACCATCCGACTCCCCCCTATAGGTCCCTGGCCGACTGGCCGACTCCCCGATGGGCCGACTCCCCGACTGCGGAGTCGGAAAGCTCTTCCTGGTGCCTCAGATTTTGTTCTTCTCTCCCGCGGGGGGGCAGGAGGGCCCCCTGGGGGCTCCCCAGTGGCGCGAGAATAGAAGAAAAACAAAACGACATAGACATAAACTGTTGGCGCTCCGCGCGGATCTCTTGGATCCGCGCTGGACCCCCCTCACTGGCGCGCGGAGCGCGCCAGGGGCGGCGCCGGAGGCGCCGCCAGGGGGGCCCAGCGCGGATCCAAGAAACCCGCGCGGAGCGCCAAAAACGTTTCTGTTCATGTGTTCTTTTTTTTCTTCTTCGAGGCTTGGTCGTCGCCGCGGCCCTCCCCGACCAACCCTGAGGTATGTTGAAACATCGTGGAAACCAGTCTACGCTATCAACGGCCCTCTTGGGGCCATCTTGGGCCACGTCGGACGTTGGAACCCAGGGAGGGTCAGCTCTCCGGCCCTGAGGCCCATACGCTGCGAGGCCCCGGATGCGCGCGCCGGCCCCGCGCCCGCCCGGGCGACGCGAGAGCTGGGGCGACACGAGAGCTGGGGGGGTCGTCGTCCTCCTCCTCGTCCTCCCCCTCCTCTTCCTCCTCCTCCTCGTCCTCCTCCTCGTCCTCCTCCTCCTCCTCCTCCTCGTCCTCCTCGTCCTCCTCCTCCTCCTCCTCCTCGCCCTCGCGGGGTGCCACTTTCAGATCCAGGGAGGGGATAAGGAAAGGGGCGCCTGGTCGAAGTAGCCGCCAGCGATGACCTCGGGGGCCCTGCGCTCCCGCTGCGCCATGGTCTGCTGGGGCGAGGCGGCGGGCGGGCCGCCGCCTGTCCCGGCTTTTGTGGGGGGGGGCGGCGCTCGGAGCCCACACGCCATGGGTGGATCGACATCAATCCAATCCAATCCAATCCTCCTGCTCCTCCTCCTCCTCCTCCTCCTCTCCCTCCCTCCTCCTCCTCCTCCCCCTCCTCCTCCTCCTCCTCCTCCTCCTCCTCCTCCTCCTCCTCCCTCCGCCTCCCTCCGCCTCCCTCCGCCTCCCTCCGACTCCCTCCTCCCTTCTACCTACTCCCTCTTCCCTCCTGCCCCCATCCTCCTCCCTCCTCCCTCCTCCCTCCCTCCTCCATCCCTCCCCCTTGGGGGCCACCAAACCGTGTGGTGACGGACCGCGTGGTGGCCTCGGAATTCCCAGCGACCTCACCGCGCGGTCCGTCACCCTACGGTTGTGGGACCCCGGAGGCCCCGGCCGCCCGAGACGGCCTCGAAGAACGGCCCGAGTCCCCACACCGCGTGGTGGCCCCGCACCCCCCCGCGGTGTGGTCCCCACACCGCTTGGGTTGGCGGCGCGCACAAGGGGGTAGGGGGAGGGAGGAGGGCGCCTTAGATGGAGGCTGCTTCTGAGAAGGCGCCAGCCTCACATCTACAGAGAAGGCCCGCGCCTTCTAAGCAGGGGTGCTTCTAAGAAGCCCGCCCCCTCCCCCCCACGCCCCCCTGCGCGTGGCCGATTGGGGTCCCCCGAAAGATTTTCTGTCTTTCAGCACGATGACGCACTCGGCGGCGCAAGCGTGCAACCAATAAGCTACCTCAAGCGCCGTGCACATGAAGCGTCCGACCACGTAGGTGAGCAGTCCAGCGAGCCAAGTCTTCTACGATTCGTCTGCAGAGTTTGCACCAGCCAGACGGGAGAACACGGGCAGAGATGCGGGCACGTATCAGCCAGAGAGGCTATAAAGCTCACACCCTGAGGGTCGCGTGCGCTGCCAACCGGAGGAACGGGGGATGGGCCTGACATTGAGGAAAGGCTGGGTTGCACGGTTTCCTCTGGGGCCGTAGGCGACCCGAGGAGGAGGAGGAGGAGGAGGAGGAGGAGGAGGAGGAGGAGAAGGAGGAGGAGGCGAGGAGGAGGAGCGGAGAGGAGGAGGAGGGGAGGAGGAGGAGGAGGAGAGGAGGATGAGGATGAGGAGAGGAAGGAGGGGAGGAGGAGGAGGAGGAGAGGAGAGGAGGAGAGGAGGAGGAGAGGAGGGAGGGGGAGAGGAGGAGGAGGAGGAGGGAGGAGCAGAGGGAGGAGGAGGGAGGAGGAGGGAGGAGGAGGGAGAAGGAAGGAGGAGGAGGGAGGAGAGGAGGAGGAGGAGGAGGAGGAGGAGGAGGAGGAGGAGGAGAGGAGGAGGAGTGGAGGAGGGGAGAATGAGGAGGAGGAGGAGGGAGGAGGAGGAGGAGAGGAGGAGGAGGAGGGGAGGAGGAGGAGGAGGAGGAGGAGGAGGAGGGGGAGAAGGAGGTAGGAGGAGGAGGTAGGAGGAGGAGGAGGAGGAGGAGGAGGAGGAGAGGAGGAGCGGAGGAGGGGAGAAGGAGGAGGAGGAGAGGAGGAGGAGGAGGAGGAGGAGGAGGAGGAGGAGGAGGAGAGGATGGGCCCGCGCCGCCCCCCCAGATCCAGCATCCACGTGGCCGCGCACGCGCAAGGAGGAGGGCAGAGCCGCAGAGCCAACCGCACGCACAGAAAAGCATGCCGCCCCCCCCCCCCCCCCCCCCCCTCGGGACACTGGCGCCCCTCCCCAAGCCCACGGCCCCCAGATCCGCCACCGTGCCGCTGGGCACGGGGTGGGCGCCCAGGAGGCCCCAAGAGACCCCCAAGAGCCCCCCAAGTGAGGCCCCCAAGAGGCCCAAAGAGAGGCCCCCCAAACGGGCCCCTAAGAGGCCTCAAAACTGCCTCCAAGAGGGCCCCGAGAGGCCTCCCACGAGATCCCAACGAACATCCAGTAGGCCTCATACCCACAACCCAGGCCCGGTGGCGGGATGGGCCGAAGGCCACTCGATGCTCGATACGCTCACCTCTCTGTTCCCAGTGCCTGCTGCATGCTGGTGCACTGCAAGGAGCAGCTGCCGTCCGCTTGCCGAGCGAGGCGTGGTGCAACCGATGGGGGCCACAAGCAGTCTGGCCAGAGGTGGGGCGCCGCCCCCCCGCGCGCGCGCCTGGATCGCAATGGGAAGGCACGGCGACGGCTGACACTGCAAACGGCAGCTGCCTCGAGCCGAGAAAGGTTGAGCGGGCCTGCCGGAGGACCTCGCCCTGGCTCAGAACTCCTCCAACGCGCCCCTCCGCTGGCCATCGCTCGGGCGTCCACTGCCTGTTTTTTGTACGGTTTCGTGCGTGTTTTTTTGTCGCAGGATGATCCAATATGCTCCTTAATAGGGTTTTTTGTTTGCAGGATGATCCAGGGTGCTCCCTAATAATGCCCGCCGAGAAAAGAAGTGCACACGTCCGAGCGATACCAAGTCCACCCCCGTCGGCAGACTGCGGTGAGTCATGGCGCGGCAACAGGAGCGGACGCCCGATACGCAGCGGCCGCCCCCCTGACTCCGGGTCCCACTGCGCTCGAACATGCTGCACCATTGGCGGGAGAAGGCAGTGTCAAACCGAGGCCCAAGCACCTGAAACACAGGACGCCTCTTGGGCGCAGAATCCAGATCGTGATTCGAATGCCATACTGCTGGGCTCAGGAGAGACCGCGAGGAGGATCACAACAACATTGCCACATTCAGAGCGTACTGCTGAGCATGCGGGAGGGTGCGGATGTAAACGGGGATTCTGAGGGGGAGGTGTGACTCTGGCAGCCCAGGACGCCGGTGACTTCATGTGACAGCGAAGTGCGCAACCAGCAAATTTACATAGTGGTAGATCACTGTTTGTTGACCATGTGAGCCTTTCTTTTTTCGGCGTGTCGACATTGGGCGGAAAGGGGGGGAGGGGGGGGGTCTGGCTCTAGGCCTCTGCTTAGTGCGACTGTTTGCAAGAGCGCTGCCGCTGGGGGAGACTCCACTCGCTCGAAACAGGCGCTAACAAAAACAGCCAGGATCTACTCCGTGGAGGGGGGGAGGGGGGGGTGCGAGGGCCCGCGCCGATCGGCAAAATAAGGAGTAAGGAGACGGCCACCATTCCGCACTTCCTTCACCCAATGGTCCTCCTCCTCCTCCTCCTGCAATGCCGATGCTGTGGGAACCCTGGGTACCTCATCGTTCGGCAGAGGTGTCCAGCATCTGTCGGCCAGTCTTGCTGCCCAGATGGTGGACGTCGCTGGCCACCTGCTACGCCGCGGCAGCGTGAGGACTGCGCTGGGCTATATAATAATACTACTAATAATAATAATGCTATTATTATTAACAATAATAATAACAAGAATAGGAAGAACAATATTAATAATAATAATAATAAGAATAATACTAATATGAAGAATAATACGAATAATCATACTAATAAGAATAATACTAAGAAGAATAATAATACATAATCAGAGCAATAACAATGATAATACTAATACGAATACGAATGCTAAGAAGAAAAACATAAGAGGACGAATCAGATCAACTATAATGAGAAGAATAATGCTACATATAAGAAACAAACACATAAACATAAACTTTTGGCGCTCCGCGCGGATTTCCTGGATTCGCGCTGGACTCCCCTCCCTGGCGCGCGGAACGCGCCAGGGGCCAGGAGCGGCGCCGGAGGCGCCACCGGGGGGCCTAAGCGCGGATCCAAGGAATCCGCGCGGAGCGCAAACAGCTTATGTTTATGTGTTTCTTCTTCTTCTTCTTCTTCGATAGAAGTAGGCTGTAGACTCCAAAGCTCTCTTTCGTAGACCTGTCGAGTCCCTCAGGCAAGGGCAAGCCTTCCCCTGGCGAAGCGGGTTTTGGAGCGTCTCATAGCCGTCGTTCTTACTGCTGTATCGGATGGCCCGCGGGGCGTCGTGGGCTGAGCCGTGTGGCCAGCCATGGCTGGTGGGCTGGAGGTGGCTGACAGTCTGGCGTCGTGGCCGCCCCTGTCCGATCGCGGATGGGAGAAGGAGGAGGAGCCACGGACGAGCATCCCTGTTCCTTCTGTCTCACTCCTTCTTCTCCTCCAGTCCTCCTCCATGAAACCGCACCCTCGCGCGCGCGGCATGCGAGATTGCCGCGCCCGCATTGCACGAGGAAGCTCTACGAGTTCCCGGCGGTAACCAAGGTTGACGGTTTACCGCCGGCTCCCAGTTCCAGCGCGGGGGGGAGGCGGAGCTTCGTATTTGTGGACTCGTGGGGCCTCTTGAAAGCCGTTCGGATCTATTTCGGGGTGCTCCTGGGGCCCTGTTGAGGGTCCTCTTGAGGCCCTGCTGGGGTCCTTCAGGACTTTTCGGGGGGCGTGCGTCGCAATTATCGATGGGGAGGGCCTCGGATTTGAAGGCCGGGTCAGTCTCTCGGACCCCCCTGGGGCAAGGAAGCGCGGCGCGGATGTCTGCACTCGACGCTCCAGCCTGGGCGCGAGAAGACAGGGTCGAACTCCATGTCCCCGACAGCCTGGAGGTCCACGCTGAAGTTGACGGTGCACCCGTACAGCAGGACTCCTCTGGCAGTTGCCAGGGAGGTGGACAAATTGCTGCCTTGATCGTTCAGGGGTGCTCTGACAAGTTCTGGACATGAAGCCGCGAGTACCAAGCCTGGCTGAACCTTGGCAGACCTCGAACTCACTGCAACCGCTTCATACTGAATCATCTACACGATCCAAACACATAACGCTCTGAACATGAGGGCTGAAGCATCAGACCGGGAAGACATCCACCAGATACAACCCAGAGGGAGGCAGATCTGGCACTGGACGCGGGGTGAACGTTGAAGACAGGTTCTCGCTGTGGGCGCGCGAGGGGGTCATGAGTCTGAGGCGGTGCAAAGAGGAGCCCGCGCACCAGACCCTGCGCCACCAGGCGGAGGGTCAACTGCGATGGGGCTGCGATCGCGTTCTCGGCGCTACCCTCGGACGCCTGGCGCCCGGAAGATCTCGCAGGGCGCAGCACAAAGCTCAGGCTGGCCAGCATTGGACGGATATCGGATGTGTGAGCAAGAGCGCAGAAGCGAGAGGCAACGCCGAAATAGCTTCGAAGGCCAAGTGCTGACGACGAACATGCCTGCAGGGAGGCGCCACGTCGAGTCGGGATCCGGGAAGGTCGTCCCATCTCCAGCGCCCGTTCAAGTTGCCGAAGTGGTCGTGGAATCGACCTCCAAGCAAGGAGAGAGAGAGAGCTCATGCATGATCCACACACAGATCAAGTCGACTGCATGCGTCCTGCTGCCAGGCGGTCACGCTGCCGGGGGGACATTGCGAGGCGATTCTGGCACACCGAACAAGGCCATGCCCCCCCAGTGTGACGCGCCTCCTGTGAACCCTACCTTCCACGGCATCTACGCACCCTGATTCTCTCCGACTTCGTCTTCATCCGCCTCTGCCTAATCTTCCTCCTCGCCACCTGCTGCAGCAGCCCCTCCCCTTTGTCGCCCTTCTCCCTCGTCCTCGTCGTCCTCGTCCTCGTCCTCGTCCTCGTCCTCGTCCTCGTCCTCGTCCTCGTCCTCGTCCTCGTCCTCGTCCTCCTCCTCCTCCTCCTCCTCCTCCTCTGCGCAACCCCTGCGTCACCGTGCTCGTGCCGCAACCGTGACGCCCGGCGCCCGCAGGGCGGCGCCGCGCGCAGCGCCGCGGGGCGGAGGGCGCCCGGAGCCCACCGGCGCGCCAGAGGAGGGGCTCTCCGGACGCGCAGGGAGAGGCCCCCCGAGAGGCCTGGGGCGGTCTCCGCACCTCCGCCCCTGGGGCGCAGAGCAGGAGGAGGAGGAGGAGGAGGAGGAGGAGGAGGAGGAGGAGGAGGAGGAGGAGGAGGAAAAGGAGGAGGAGGAGGGGGAGGAGGGGGAGGGGGATGGGGGCGCAGAGCGCCCCAGGGGCGACCGCCGCGGGAGGCGGCGCCGGCGTGCTTCAGACCGCCCTGGGGTGCTCGGGGGGGAGCCCGCCGAGGCAGGCTGGGACCGCCCACTGGGGGGGCCGCCCGCGCGCCGCCCGAAGCCTTGGCGGCGCTGCAGGAGCCGCACGGAGTCGGCCCAGCGCCCACGCATTGGGCGACCCCAGAATTGAGCGGGGACCGGCCGTCCCGGCATTCCTACACAGCCGTGGCACAAGTTTCTTCAGTTTGCTAGGATGAAGATCTCTCCCATCCCTCTCAAGATTCCTAACGTGGCATGGTGCTGGGTCATTCGGCGGAGTGGTTTCCGATCCTGGAGACGTTAATAACTCTGTTACCCCAAAACGGGATCGGAAACTACTCCGCGCCAAACCATATAACTTATCGGGCGGGATGCGATGGCGCGCGGAGCAGTTTTAGTAAAACTACTCCGAACTACTCCGCACAAGCGCGTCATTCCAAAAGGCAATTTGAAAGAAACTCTTGTCACGGCGATGTACAATCCTACCACGAAGTGTTCTCGGAACCCCAGAATGTTCCAAGAGCAGCGACAAGGTCCTCAGAACATGGGCCCGGTGTGCTAGAGCAGGACCATCGCAGCCAGACGTGTTCCAAGAACATGTCGTGGGAAGCGCGAGAGAGGTTCTTAGAACATTTTGGGTGTCCTAAAACCGTGTGGTGACAGACCCGGCGGTGACTTCGAAATCCACAAAGACCTCACCGCACGGTCCGTCACCACACGGTTTTGGGACCCTGGAGGTCCCAACCGCCCGAGACATCCTCGGAAGACGACCCAAGTCCCAAAACCGTGCGGCGACCCCGAACACCCCCGACTCACCACACGGTGTGGTCACCACCCCGCTTGGGGCCCCCGAACACTGTCCGGCAGGCCCATAGGCACGCCGGGACGCTCCGCCGCCGCTTGACAGAAGCCCCGGGCTCCACGGCGTCGACGCGTCACGAGGAGGAGGAGGAGGAGGAGGAGGAGGAGGAGGAGGAGGAGGAGGAGGAGGAGGAGGAGGAGGAGGAGGAGGAGGAGGAGGAGGAGGAGGAGGGGAGGAGGAGGGAGGAGGAGGAGGAGGAGGAGGAGGAGGAGGAGGAGGAGGAGGAGGAGGAGGAGGAGCTCGCCCGCCGCCGAGCCTCTGGCAGGCCTCACGCCGTCGGAGGCGCCCGCGTGCTCGCCTCCCCGCCGGCCTCCGCCCCCGAGGGCGCGAGCTGCGCCGGCGGCGAGGCCCCGGAGCCGGAGCGCGCTTCCAGCTCGCTGTCGGCAAGGCCGGCGGGGTGGCCGAGCTCGACCGGGGCAGCGAAGCAGCACACACACACACACCACTGCATAGAAAACAAAGAGTCAAACGCATTATCCTCCTCCTCCTCCTCTTCTTCCTCACGTGGGGGAGGAGGAGGAGGAGGAGGAGGAGTAGGAGAATCATGTCGGCGGAGGAGAAGGAGGAGGAGGCGGAAGAGACCTCGGGCCCGTCCAGGGGCCGTCTTGGGGGCCCCTCGGGCCGTGTGGGAGGCCCTGGGCGCCGGCCGAAGAGGTCAGGCACCATGCTCCCAAGGAGTTCGGTATTCTCGCCTCGCCTGGGAGGCGGGCCCAGGGGCGGAAGCTGAGGGGGCAGGGCCTTCTTTTGCCGTCGCTCGGACGTCCATTCCCTGTGCGTTTTTTGGTTTTTGTGCGTGTTTTTCTTGCTCGGTGATCCAGGATGCTCTTCGATGGTCCTCGCCGAGAACAATGCACACGTCCGAGCGATGCCAAGTTCTCAGAAGGCTCGGAAGGACCCCCGCCTTCTGAGAAGCTTCTGAGCCCTCTCCGAAGACAGAGACGGCTTCTCAAAGGCCACAGGGCTTCTGAGAAGCCCCGCCGCCCTCTGAGCATGCCTGTCCCTCCTTACTTCTCTCCCGGGGTTGCCGCCGACCAATGCTGGCCCAAGAGGGCACAGAAGCCCTCCCCCCCTGCCTGCACGGTTTCCCCCGGGGCCGTAGGCGACCCGAGGAGGAGGAGGTGGAGGAGGAGGAGGAGGAGGAGGAGGAGGAGGAGGAGGAGGAGGAGGAGAGGAGGGGAGGAGGAGGAAGAAGGAGGGAGAGAGGAGGAGGAGAGGAGGATGAGGAAGGAGGAGGAGGAGGAGATGGAGGAAGAGGAGGGGGAGGGAGAGGAGGAGGAGAAGGAGGAGATGGAGGAGGAGGAGGAGGAAGGAGAAGGAGGAGGAGGACGAGGAGGAGGAGGAGGAGGAGGAGGAGGAGGAGGGAGGAGGAGGAGGGGAGGAGGAGGAGGAGGAGAGGAGGAAGGGGGAAAGGAGGAGGCGGAGGAGGAGGGAGGGAGGAAGGAGGGAGAGGGGGGAGGAAGGAGGGAGGAGGGAGGAGGGAGGAGGGAGGGGGGGAGGAGGAGGAGAAGGAGGGAGGAGGGAGGAGGAGAGGGAGAGAGGGAGGAGGGGGAGGTAGAGGAGGAGCGGGAGGGAGGAGGAGAGGAGAGGGAGGAGAGGGAGGAGAAGGGAGGAGAGGGAGGGATAGGAGGGAGGAGGAAGGGAGGAGGGTCGCCGAAGCCTTCGGAGAAACCCTCCGAGCCCCCCCTCCTCCTCCTCCTCCTCCTCCTCTCCCCTCCTCCTCCCTCCTCCTCTCCTCCTCCATCTCCTCTCCTCCTCCTCCTCCTCCTCCTCCTCCTCCTCCCCCTCCTGCCCGAGAGAGAGAGAGAGAGAGAGAGACAGCGCTCCACTGCCCCCCTGGTGACGCCCCCGAGCGGGGCCCCGGCAGACTGCCAGCGCCGCGGGCGCGAGCGTGCGCCCGCCGGGAGCGGAGCCCGGCAGAGGCGGCCCGCGAGAGGCAAGGGGCCCCCGACAGGGTTTAGGTCGGGCATGCCCCCCCTACAGTTATGATGCTCCAGCCTACATTAGCCTTGACCACCAGGAAGAATGTCGAGCGCCCACAAAGAAATACCGAAACTCAAGGGTTTTCACGTGCCGCGCCCTGGGGGACACTGTCTCGACACTGTTTCGACACTCTTTTGACACTTTTCTGGGTGCTCGAAATGATTTCTGGGATGCGGTCCTTAAGTGGGACGGGAACAACAGAACCCTACAGTCAGGTCTGTGGATGCCACGACAATGGACACCCTAACAGTCCTATCATTGAGTTGGAGATGTGTTTAAACTGTGTGCAGTCAACCCGCACAGTGAGGATGCGCGATAAGGATGCAACGGCCTTGGACGCCCATCTCGAAGCTTTTCGAGCGGGCCGCGGTCAACGAAAGCGGCCAAGGATGGGCCGAGAAGGCAAGGATGCGAGGGTACCCTTGGGAAGGTCGCCCATTCTTACTCTGCGGGGTGACTGTAAAACATGTTCTATAATGTTTCAAACATGTGTTTAACACATTTAAGACATATTTCAAACATTTGTTGGACATCTGGAAAGTATTTGGCAACATGCTTCCTCTCCGTTAATCGACTTCCACAAAGTTAGGTCGGGCATGTCCTCGTACAGGCGGAGCTTGGACGAACAACAAAAAGTAGTCCAACAGACTCCAGGCATGCTCAAACATATGGAAAGCATCGTCCGCGGATTATTTGTTTTTCTACTTTTGTAGTTTCCTCCTGTAGAGGGACACGCCCGACTTAACCCTACAGGCGGATTTTGGACAAATAAACCTGATATTGCCACGAATCCCGATCTTGGAGGACAAGTGGGCGTGACGTGCGAGGGAAAGAAAACGAATAAGATAATGCCTATAGGGCGCATGAATGCTGCTTCCCGTGTTGTCCGTTTGACGCTGTGCCGCTTTCAGGAGCATTATGTTGATTCCCGTATTGTAGGTTTGACGATGTGCCATTTTGGATGAAACATAAAGCATGCGCAGAACATGCTCGAACATAACCAACAACAAATCGAACAATCATCCCTATACTATTTTTTTGAATATTATTGAATTTTCCCCCTGTTGAGGGACATGCACGACTTAACAATAGATCCCCCTTGAACCCCTCAGCGACACTCGCAGCACGTCTTGCCGGCCCACCCCCAGTCCCGCCCCTCCAATTTGTGAATGTTCAGTGGCGCGCGCGGTGCAGCCTGCCCGACGCCCGCGAAAAGACAAGGAACCACTAGTCTCGGTATCGACTTTGCAATTTGTCCGGCGCCGTCCCTGGCGCGCGGAGCGCGCCAGGGAGGGGGGTCC